AATTTACATCTCTATTGAGGGACTCGGAGCTTACCCTAAGTTTAGGAGAATAATGACAGTTGTATTTATAATTTAGATACATATAACAGCCACTTTTTATTTTCACGCCTTTACAACTGTATTACTATGTAAAAAGAAGGTATATTATCCTTAACTAAGACATCTGGTAATGAATTAGAGGTTAGAAAAAGTTACCTGGGTTTATTCTTTGATTGCTTAAGGCAATTTTGAAATGCGTCGATATCTTTCCAAAATTTTAAAATGTTTTCTTCTTCCCTTGGAAAATCTATGTTTTCTGGTACTCTGCTTATTTTCAGCGACATTTTGGAATATCGCTAGAAAACTAAATCCGACAAGAAAACGTCCACGCCATGCCAACTTCCAACTAGTGACAGTGACAAATGACAACTGTTTGCCAAATGTCTTTTTTTTTTAGAATTAATGTCAAAGAGCATGAAAACGAAGAGTCGGGAGTACGGTGTTACATGTTCCAAAAATAGGTCTGTGGTAGCTCTGGCAACTATTTTCTATGACACAAAAATAAATTTATAAAATGGCGGATAACAGTAAGTGACGTATGTGTTGTGTTTGTGAATTTATATAAGATTAAAGTGCCGTGATTGAATAATGTATTGAGGACTATCTTATCTAATATTCAAGTACATTTTTAATGTTTACATTTGGTATGGTGAGTATTTGGTGCATATATTTTATCTTATACGCATGACTAATAACTTATCACGGCGTTGAGGCAATTTTGAAGCTGTAGGCGGACGACTTTTATGTGAACTTTGCTTTAGCTAAATATTAGTTTTTACTTATTCTTTAATTAATCCATAATAGCGTATTTTATAATATTCTGATTGTATTTTCTAGTAATTTTAAATGCCCATAAAAATTTGCAATAACAGTTTGGATAAATTGCTGGTACCATCCAAGCTTTTTAAGTATTCACCAACCATCTGCCCAGTCATGGTCAACAAATAATATTTGCTGTTCTTTATTAAGTATTCTATATATTTAATTTATTGCGGTCCAAAATTAATAACACTAAAAAATATAAAAATATACTTTTAATAGGGTAGTAGTATAACTATATCAATTCTGTTCGTCTAGCATTATTAGAGGATATGTATTTATTTGAATTGCCAATAGTAACAATTGAGATTTCCAAAATATGACAAATTAATGTGTATTGTTTTTAATCAGTCCTGTATTTCGTTTGTTTCTGTCTATTAGACACATACTTAAACATAATAGTGTAGTAATATTTTCAAAAACGTCAATTTCATAATTACATTTTATTGAAGTATAAAGTGGGTTATCAATACATACAATTTTTTAATTTACTCATATTCTTAATAAATAAAAATCAATGTGTTTATGTTTGTTCTGGACTGAGATTGTAGATTGAAGACCTTTTACAGTATTCTGAAGATGTTCAAAAGAATTTCAGGTGTGAATATATATAACAAAAATATTTTCCATTTTTAATGTTGCTTTTGCTATTAGTTTGTGACTTTGAATTGTTTTACTGTACTTGTTTTATAATAAAATCTTTATGTAAGTCTAAAAGGTCTGATCAAGGTTCATGAGGTATTCCCGGTAAAAAGAATCTTATTATTAGCCAACAAAATCAAAACTGGATACTTTAAACTATACTCATACTTTAAAAACAAACTACGATCACTTTTCAATTAGTAAAACTAAAGTAATTAAACATTAACCCTATTTTTATGTGAGCTTGGTTGTTTGAAAATTGAACTCACTGTGTGAAAATATTTAAATTTTACTCGCCCAATAAGGTGGAACTTAAATTATAGAGATTTATTGCAATATTTATTCTAATATTATAAAGAAGAAAGATTAGTTTGTGTCTTTGCATTGAATAGGTTCTGAAACCACTGAACCGATTTAAAAAGATCTTTCATTTGGGAATCTACAGTTTTTCTCAGTGACATAGGCTATATTTATTATTAGGTTCTTTCTTAAATTTGCACAAAGTTCTATAGTGATAAAATAGAAAATTTATATACAAGAGTTTATTTAGATATTATCTTTAATTTTTAATGACAGAATTTATCATATCATGTGTTGCATTGTCACCTACCAAATAAAAATCAACATTATGTTCTAAACTTCCATGCTTATGTGTTCATTTTTGCATGTAAATTTTTGAGTTTTTATGCATTCATAAAAATAAAACCTTCTTCTCATCTTTCGCTTACCCTCCTTGGCAAGTGGTTGAATTTATTCAGTATCGTAATAGTGGAGACTCTTTGCTCCATCCAATTCTCTACAGTCGAATATACTATCTTACTGATAATATAAAAGCACCTAATAATATAAACGCACCTGGTACTTCCAGAACGGCTAAATAGATCTAAATGCAATTTGGCACATATGTAGAAAATAGTCTGGAAGAACGCATAAGCAACTTATAAAGTTTTTTGTATAATTCAGTGGTGGTCTTGGGCGGCAGATAGTAATAAATAAAATGGGTATACAGTTTTATGAAGTAAAATATAACATGTCAAATATAAATGCAAATCTAATTTTAAACATTGCTTAGTGAGTCAGCCCTTGATACAGCACATTCAAGTTCAAACATTATTCATAATAATGCTGAGTACAGAAGCGGCCGTGGTTATGACGTCACCGCAGACACACATGTGGTCCAACTATACGAACAGAGTTCACCTCTCAAATAATTACTTTACCATATTACTCATTAGTGTACTTCGTAAATGTTACAACAGTCGCTTTGTGTCCTTATTAGTTAATAATTTGCATTTCCTCTGTACAGAATTACTTGGGTAAAATTATTAAACAATTTAATCTATACTTTGTTAATCATGCATTTGTTGACTTTAGGGATAAATTAAATGTATTATTACATACTGGCCTTTGACCTTTATTTGTCGAAATAACTCTGATTGTGGTCTAGAATTGCAGTTCTATGACTAAGCAATATTTACGATAAACTTCGTTCCTTTTATTAAGATATTAATCCAAATTGAAGGAATGGATGTTCGATACCACTTAACTCTAGAGTTGTTGAACAAATCTGGATGAAATTTGCACCAGTGATAGAATACAGCCTTTATTTGCTTATAGTCTAACAAATAATTGTTTTTATTTCCACGCGGACGGAGCCGAGAGCGACAACTATTGAGTGATAAAAGAATAAAATTACTTCTCGTAACTTCTAATAGACTTATTCCCTCGATGGAAGTACTAAACGAGCATTTAATATCGCAATTAACGATTTCATTCTTCGTAACCGGAGATCTAAATTAGGTGGATTGTCGATCGACGTTGAGCTTCCTGATGTTGACCTACTAATCTATTATTGTATGAAAATAGTTTGTACGTTAGAATGCTAGGCTATATATAGAAAAAGAACAGTGTGTCTTTAATGCAACACAAAATTTTCACTCTACCAGTACATTTTGTTGGTGGTGTTACTACGATGCTTCATTCATATAATTCATGTTGTAAGTTATATACAAGATGTATTAAAAAAAAAACGAATTTCTTCCGTAATGAGTGTTGTGAATATGCGAGGTCCCTGACTGTCGTCGGTCACGGGGCAATGCGGCCCCAATGTTACCGTACACCGGATTCCTCTCACGCTCCAGTTGCTCAATATAACACTAATTGTGTGCATTGCATTTATCAGCACTCCGCTTTACCGGATGTGGTATGGTGGACGATTCGATCATCTAAATGTTCGCTTTTACCGTGAAACTGCATCTACTCTTGTACATATGCATACATATAAACTCAATACAATGGTATTGATTCTATATGTCTCAACATCTCTATATATTCAGAATAGACTAAAGTAATTTGGATGTAAGTTTCTAAATTGTTAAGCTACGTTTGTTATAAACATAATCTTACAACGAATATGTGGGTTTATTAGATGGTTTCGACATTCTAGTTCTTACTGGCCTTGATTTCAATTTTGTTAGTTTTGCAAAGTTTAAATACGGCAGAACTTTTTAAACAAGCAATTCATCTCGTATCTCAATAGGTACATTCTGTATTTGTTATCTCTCGTCAACGTTTGCACGTGGCGGTGTATTGAGAGGTATCTATTATCATGATTTCAAAACGTTTCCTGCGTGCGCTTGAGTCACTTAGGTCAGCCGCAATCAGATATCCATAACGGAGGCAGGAAGTGAACGCGCAATCGTTGCGTGTCTTATCCTTATTGTTTAGTACTTTTAGCACTTGGCAACATAGCCATATGTATACCATCCAGACATATAACGGTGATGTATGAGGTCATCCTATACATATCACAATGCGATATCAATATTTTGTATATATATTTACATAAATAATTACTGCATAAGTATGCTGTCTGACTACTTTGTCATATTTATAAAGGGGTCAGCGACTCCCTAAGTGTTATTCATAAAGATAGCATTATAAGGATCCTTTTTTAGGGAAAGAGGACTTGTCATAATAGTTTGCCATTCATACAAGCTTTATAGTGAGATAGAACAAGTTGAATTATTTTTTCTTGACATTTAATTAGAGTCAGACATTTTAAAAATCTTGTTAACCTTCTAAGTGTGTATGTTTTACGGCGATCAGGAAAAATAAATCATGTTTTAATCGGATTTATTTCAAATCTACAGATCGACAGATAAAATTGCTCAATGATAATGTAATTTGTATGAAAAAATTTTAGACCTGATTTACGGTTTCAGTTTTACGGGTTATTTACATAAACTTTCGAATGCAGATACCAGTGTATGCAACGAATTGTTGAGCGATATTTATAAACAAAAATGGTCGATTATTTCGTGCTAAATAGCTTTGCAAACTATATTGGTTAAACACCAGAAATCGTTTGTTTAATTCCTTTATAATTTATAATATATTTCATGAAATTTGTAAAATTTCAACTAAATTTCATTGGCATCGCTCGTCCCGTTCAATTGGTCCCCAACCAATATGTGTTCAGTATCAGTCGTCACTGGGTTGTCGTAGCGACGACACGTGTGCGGTGTTTTTGAAAGGTGTTCCACTTGCGTTTTCACTATAGAATGTTTATTGCGATCGTGTTAAAGTTGTGATGTAAACAAACAGAAAATGTTTGACTCACGATGCGTCGGATGTAAATAAGGAGTCTGTGTCTTAGTTGTATTTTTTTAAAGTGCTCGTGTACATCTGTGTTTTGTTATCTTTTAGACTTGAGTGCGTTGGAGTAAACAAATTGAGTGATTTAATTAAATATAAAGGATACTTTGTATTTGACGGATGTTTGAAGAATAAAGGGTATGTTGTGATGTATTATTTAGTTTTTTTTTTGAAGAATATAGATTTTTTGGTGTCGATCTCTAGCGTTCAACGCTCTATTTCAGTTTTTATTTGCCTAGGGATAATTTCCTTGGCTTTTTGAAAAATCACGTAATTTTTTCGGCTTTAAATTAATCTGTGATTTCTAGTCAAACTAGCAGTTCATGAGTGCCATTCTTGAACTACCCTTAATTTTGCTAAAACTGTAATTAAATCGTTAATTAAAAGTTGTAGCTGTAGCAGAAACTTCGCGGCAGTCATGTAGGATAGTCTTTTATTTAAATGAAAATTTATATTTGCGTAGTGCCATCTAAATGAGTCGCCAGAATTCAGTGTGCATTAACAACTGGGTCAAGTCTTCCACTCACGTTGGCTGCAGCTTGTACAGAATAATATGGTTTGAGTACAGTGTCATGAAATAAGGATACATTACTTAATCTTTTTTTTTCATATTCTTCACAAATTGATTACCATATTCCGTAGGATCCTGGAGTTAAAAGCCGAGTCCTTTATGGTAAGTTGGTGAAAATGTAAGGTGGTGATGACAATGTTAAGGATAAACATAGAAAACATTACATAGCTCCTCTTTAGAAACTATTTTAAAAGGTTGATTACTAAAATTATAAATATAAGAACAAAATTGTTCTTATCTATATTATGTTTGTATTAAACAATGGTAGTAATAAGGTAATTATAAGTTACGATGATGTTTTTCTCATTAATAGAGAGCTAGAATAGGTTATCAATAAACTGTAGGAAACAATGCAATTAGCACCACAGTCTTTGTCTGAAGTAATTGTCAGTCTGTTATCGTTTGTTACCGTAAACTTAATGGACATATGTTTTTTGTACAAATGTTTCGGCAGTGGGAACACACAGAAAGACTTTCCGTGTACATGCAAAGTAAATCTCGAACGAATATTCGTTCTTATGATCAGTTGAATAGCTAAGCGTTGCGCAATGCCCACTCTACCGGTCCACACGCAATAGTAATTTTACTCTGGTATTTCTTGATAGCGAATGAGGTTGTCTTTTCCTAAACTGATTCTCTGTATCGATTATCTTATTTGTAAGACAATGTGACATAAAACATTTCATGCTATTACGACCTTTTCAAATGAAAGTGAACTCGCCAGGCGAGTCGGTGGTACTGGACGTGTTAAAAAACATAATATTACAGTTTATCGCGTATTAGATTGATAACAACGAAGGCAGTTATAAAGCGTCTGACGCTAAATCTGATCCTTAGAATTTCTCGTATACGATTTAAAAATATTATAGTAATGTTTTATATAATTAACATAATTGCAGTATTTCGCTGTTTAATATGTCTTCCTTTTTTTTCAGCAATCACTGAAACTTAGTTTACCTTAAACCGGTCACGTAAAATTACGACAACTAAAGACTATAATAATAATATAAGAAGTAGTACTATCGTAGTTATTTGCAGTGTCGCCATTGAGTCGCGTACGACAAGGCCAGTGCCTACTCGCGGCGTAGGCTTGATGCGTCATCACAGCTTCTAAATTGAACCTCAAAACATATCCCTATTCAGGTTTAATTATCATTGTATCATGATTATCTTAAACCTTAAAGAAATTGTAACGTGGTGTTAACAATAACAAAAAACTACGTTTTTATTTAAATGTCTGTATTTTTATGAATATGTTTTATCGAATGACAAAATAGCTTTTACTAATATTTAGGTACCTACGCAATTTGTTTGCCGCATCGACAGTCTGCGTTACAACGTAATATCATTTCATTGTAATATGTTTTCCTGCTTCGACAAAACACCAACATATTAAATACAGGAGCTAAGCTCCAAACCATTTTATGTATGCAATGTGCAAAACCTTCGTCGCCCGCTGTTTATCGATTGCAACCGTTTTTAGATTATCCAGACGTCCCGTTTGTCCTGTGGCGTCGTGTATTTTTAGTTGGCCGCACGACGTGGTCCTCCTCTTTCGTATGAATTTTGATCGTTGCAAATTCACACGAAATTATTCTACTATACTTAGTAATCTTACTTCTTACTCTAATATTGTAAATGTAAATGTTTGGATAGATGGATGTTTGTTAGAAGATATCTCCAGAACGGCTGTATGAATCTCTGCGAAATATAGATTTAGAACAAAGTCTGGAAGAACACATAGGCTACCTATTTCCCCGGTAATGTGTACAGTTCCCGTAGTATACGTATGATTTACATATTTACTAGATAAATCCGCAACTATTCCACACATATTATTAATAATTGGTAAAGATATAGAACATAGTCTCCAATAACACATGAGATGTTCACCCTTTTTTAATTCTGCGCAGACGAAGTCGCAGGTAAAAGCTAGTTATTCATATTCTACTTTTGTAATCGAAATGGTTTGTTTTCACATTGATTTATAAATTATCTGAGAGTAGTTTGTATCCTTAGTATGGTGATTCATTCTCGTGTTTGGACAAAACGTTTATTAATCCTGTAACTCATAATTATCTATATTGTTTATTCAATTCTTAAAATGTTTCTATATTGTGTTGCGTAAATTATTGTATATGTAAAGGAATTCTTGGAGCATTATTATATTCAATATTCATTCAATAATTTATACGACGACGATGTGAGAATAAACACGTATAAAAGTGCTTGATACTAGAGCGTTCATACAATTTGTATGTTCAGAATAGAATTTGTCGTACCCTGAGGACACTACAGGAGCTGAAACAAAAGAAAACTCAACTACATTTATAGCACAAGCCTAGTTTAGGTTTAACTTTGCCGTTTATACTAACAGGAAAACTTGCTAAATAGGAAAAAAATTGTCACTGGCTACTACTATATTGGAGTGAATTTGGAATATAATTTTGTGGTTCATAATAAAAATGGACAATGCCTATTTTTATTATACACCTAAAAATTAATGTGTTGTTTTCAACCCTTTTAAAGATTACAATCATACAGGAGTTATGAGTCAGCGAGGCGCTCCTGCGTCGTAGGAAATATAAATCAAATGGTACCGTTTGGTTGGCTGGGGAAACTTTCCCGCCTTCCGCTTGTCGTTTTACTGATACTTACTGCGAAAATAAATTGTTACCTTTGTTATGTCCTGTACTTTAAATCATTATCTACTTTGTATTCTTTTCTCACTGTCCTATATTACTTTACTATCTGTCAACCTTGACTCCATCTGCGCGGATTAAAAAAAAATTATTAGTAGCCTATGTGTTCTTCCACACTATGTTGTATATTTGTGCTAAATTTCTTCATCCGTTCATCCGTTATGGAGGTACCTTGAAACAAACATCCTTAAAATCCATCCAAACATTCGCATTTATAATATTAGTAAGAATTAAGATATTACAATGCATTATGTATTGTCAAAAGAGGTTATGTTTCACGTAATCCAGTACTTTGTAATCTGATAGTGTAAGACATATCCGTTGCGATTGTTATATGTTCCGGGTCGTACTGAAATAAATCTATACCGTAAACATGACTGTTAAAGTAAACTGGGGACGTGGACACCTATACAAATATAGTTCGCGTGTATCGCTTCCTGAATGTGTTTAAGGCCAAAAGTCAACGGCCATGTTCCGCTTTTTCCGGTAGACCTTTATAGTGTGGCCGCGTGGCCGCGTATGCAGTAGTTTTACGTCACATATTTTAGGTGCAAGCTTCTTTATATTTCTTTTATGGACAACACACAAACTGCCGCCTTATGATATGAGTTGTAAAGAAGTTTCTGATTATGTCATTTGTAAATTGAATTTTCTCCCTTTCAATAGACTAACAATGTTCATGACTTAAGTTTATTATAAGCAAAGTTAATACTGTAATTATTGTATTAAAGATACTTAGATAACAAATAACAAAAGTAAATGTAATACACAACATTATAAATCGTTATAGCATTACTCATAAACGTATGTTTTTATAATGTGTTTTTAAATTATTATGCTCAAGTTAACTTACTGATCACATGTCCTTGACTAAAGTATGTACAATACTTATCATTCTTATTTTCACTGCCTTTTCTCTGCGGAATGTTGAATCGGTTGGATATTGAAACAATTGCCGCCACGGAGATTTTTAACAATGTGTGTTTATCCAATTCCAAATGGACGCCAAAATCTTGTAAACAGACAAACATCACATTTCATATTTCGTACACAATAAACTGTGTCACTTTTTAATTGGAAATGTTGTAATTTTTTTTATAAATTGTGATATAAAATTAAATTGTACTATATGGATATCTTCTTTTTAGTGTTTTTCAGGAAATATCTTAAAATTTACAAGTTTTAGCGTAAAATTTAGGGTATATCCAATGTTTACAGTATTCAGACGTTCATTTGGTACGTATACAATATTTTCAAAGGTCGATTATGGTATTCGGCTTTGACGTTCCCGGACCGGTTCTGAAATGGATAGCTAGTAATAACTCGCGCTCGATAGTTACGGAATGTCTTACATATTTTCGATTTACTCTCCCGCGAAAGTGTCCACAAACTATGTAACTATTCAATAACTTATATAAGACGATAAAATCCACAGCTCAGTACACCACAGACGATATCGCTTCTTAAAAACTCTTCCGGTTCGTACTTTCACTTTTGAAAGGGCCTTCATAGAATAGAATTTAAAAAATCACATATAAATCGGAGTTGGATAACATTACTAGAATGATCAAATGTTTTCGTAGTGCGTAACAGGTTCAGTCGCTTGTTTTGATTATATGATGTTGTTCGTTACTGTAATTGTTATCAGATTGAACATGAAAATTCATAGACAAGTTTCCTCTTACATGCACATGTTTTATGTCGTTAAATATTTTAATAAATTACGAGTATTTTCCCGTTAACCGATACCCAATTATTTTTAAAATACCGGAGAGATGACAATATTCCTCTTTGATTCTATTTATGGAACCGTTAAAGAGATTAAAGTTTGAATAACAAAAGGTTGCTTTAAAACTGTTGCGGGTTTATGCAGTTGAATTGGCAACGGAAATCGTTAGAGGGGCGATGTGGGGGAGTGTGCAGCGAGGTGCGGGAGGTGAGGTGCATGAAAGTGAAACGCATGGTCGTTCAACTCGGCACGCGCCTGCATCCTCCGGCGCTCTCGTTGCGGCTTTGTACTTGTGATTTCGTTGCTACTGGTTCTTAGTGGCCATCGTTACGTCTTTACAGTATTTTTCTTATTATAGTGTGTCACCATTTTATATGTGCTCTACCATTTTTACACATTGTCGCAATATAGCTATAACAGAACTTTGACAGAAATTTTTGATATCATGTACGATATATGATATATACGATATACATACAGACACTATAATTTTTCCACTAAAATACTTGTACAAAAACATTTTGTCATCGCTTTCATTATGTTTGAAAAAAAAAACAGATATCAATATGTTTTTACATGTATTAATTCACGGTTACGTTAACAAGCGTAGAATTCGCGACTTGTTATGTTTTATAGCGTAGTTAATTAAAACAAGAAAAAAAAAAGACTTGTGTTACACTATCACGTGTCGTGTCTATCCGGGAGTAGTATGTAGTACATGTTTTTTATAATGAATTCTAAATCACTCGGTCATCGTGTTAATGCAAACATGTGTAATATATTTCTTACCATTTTAATTGAAATTTCGTATGACATTTAATTTGCAATTAGGTCGAAACATTGTCATAGCAACATACACATGTGATTATTTTAGTTCTTGTGGTCACAGTTTGCTTTACGATATTAGATCATAAGTGGGCAGCGAATTTAATTCTTTGACAGCGGCTGTGGCCTTGTGTCGTGTACACAGATGTGTTAACGTTTATATCATGTTACTCAGTGAACATTTGTTGTAACGTGTTTGCGATTGATTGCTTTTCTACGACCGAGGAGGCATAAAAGTTTAAAGATAAGAAAGTATGATTTATAATGATTATAGGTCGGAAATATATATCTATTAGTGTTTTATTTGCGCTTAATTATGAATTATCGGTAAACAAAACCTATTTGTAAAGCTATTCGAAGACAAGTACTGTTATGTACAGACATTGTGCAAGGTAAGCACAATTTTTTTTGTTCTAGTTAGGTGAATATGGCTTGCCGTTGTCCGGTGTGTCGTATATTATGTGATAGGAAAAGAAGTCATAGTTATGGAGAGTACAAAATATGTTTACGCGGAAACACAATTTCCCTAGCAATATTGAAATACGTTCAGATGATTTCCCTATCTCAGTGTAAATCAAATATTTCCAACGAACGATGTTATTTTCCCAAATCTAAATGTCGCATCGTTGAAATATTTCTTCAATCTTCTCGTCTTCTCTACTCTTTGTTACTCAAATTTCTATTTTCCGCATATGTTTAAAAAATTTATATCTATCAACACTTAGTATCCAAAGGGATGGATCGTTTTTAAACACCAGTGACTCATTAACACCGGAAAGATTCGTTTTCTCGTAAAAAATACTCGAATGTTCTTTCTATATGTCTTTTAACAATTTATTGTTATATTTGAGTGCTGACTTAGTTCTTTTTTATATAGGTTATGATTTTCTATTTTTAAATGCCGCATTTTGGCATACGGAAAAAGATAACCTAGTTAACACCACCATTCTTTGTATGAAGATATTCGCTTTAATAAAGCAAAATAATACCGTTAAATGTGGACTGCCATTTACCTTAATTAACGAAAAAAGAATACAATAGAGAAATTCATTTTCATATAATAATTACAAAATGTAGCATTCTCTGCATATTTCGTATAGCACAACGGCAATTATAGTTTTATAACGGAGTTTTCACTATCGGAACGCCTGTCTGATTTGTAAAATTAATGTGTTCAAATAAACTTTTAACAGCTTTTTAAGCGCAGGCGCTATTTAATGTAATATAAAGATATTGAAGTCACATTGATCTCTTTTTAAGTTAGGCGATATCAAAATGTTACTTGTAATTCCTTGTAATGATTGATTTAACTATAACCACGTGTTATGCAATTTTTCATATAAGCGTAACAGCGATTCACGGCATCTTACACGCTCCAGCGAAGCGACGTTTTATCGCTCCCACTATGTAATAGCACAATTTCCTTTCCATTTCAACGGCAAATAGTTAGCAATCAGTAAATTGATTTTTAGAAAACTCCGTATATATAAAAGCTTTTACTGCATAAAAATATATTTGAGGTGTTTTAAAATAGCCCTTAAGTTAAGATAAGGGAGAAACCTCTATAAGCGGAGTCGTTTTCCAGTCCCGAAGAACGATCGCCAAACGCGAGAAACTCGGGTTAGAGAATATCCTCTTTCGGTCCCTTGGACTCACGCTTTTCCAAGTTCGGCTGTATTTTACTTCAAAGTTTTCTCTTTGATAATTATTTGAAGCATAATACATTTTTGTTGTTTGTTCTTATAATAAATAATTGTTATATTTTTGTCAACAGATTATAATGAAGAGTAGTTAGAGGTGCTGTGGTTTGCTGAGGCGGGTCGATATGAACTCGGACGTGCACCGACACCAGGCCCATCCACCGCTTGCCCAGGTAGTTGTAGTATTAACAATTAGTAATACAGGTACAATCGAACCTGGATGAGCTAGAGTCCAAGGGACCGTTTATCTAGCTTATAGAGGTTTCTATATAACCTGTGTGTCTCGCTTATGGACCTCGTCAGGACAATAATTCGCTTAACTAGGTTTCTCGCTTATCCAGGTTTGACTGTACTTATGGTTTATTGCAACACGAACGACTTCCATGTGATTTTGAATACGATTTTTTAAGCTTAAGGCCTTAAGTTTCTTAAAAATGCCGATTTACACAGTCACATTTTGCCTTTTCTTGCTATTCTTCTTCAATATCCTAAGTAGATCATCAAGTTCTGCAAAAACAGAACCGTATTAGATACATCAAAGTTTAACGATAACGTTGTTATTGTGAAAACAATTAGAATAATAAGATCGTGCAAACTATATCATGTTACGTTTAAGTTTAAACACAATTGTAATTGCCATTAATAGTACTCGAATGACGCAGCAAGTAAGAAAAGTGCAGCAAAATATTCCGTTGCATGAAATAAATCTAAGACGTTATGAGCAACTGCAGCGCAATAAGTGCGCCTGCACATATACTTTGCATACAAATAAATAGTCATATTGTTAAATACTTGTTGTTTTGCGCTTTATGTTGTACTAGAACCCTCTTACACATGTTAAGTGGGCTCTATTAGTTTTTGTGTTTATTTTTCTCCTTATGGCCACTGTTCGAATTTAAACTTATTAATATACTAACTTAATATTAACTGAATAAATAAAAACATAATAAGTAGACTATGTCTTCTTCCAGACTATGTTCTATATGTATGCCGAATTTCATCAAGATCCGTTCAACCGTTCCGGAGATACCTTCAAACGACCATACATTTATCCATCTAAACATTTGCATTTATAATATTAGTACATATATTTCTATGATAGATCCCTCTCCAATTATTGTTATCGTAGAGAAATTTTAAAAGTCGCAGACATTAACTGTTTGGCAAACAATTGAACCATCATTGAAAACTTTCAATGCAACTAAATGTGCAATGAATATTCAAAGTGCTGTTTTTCCTTAGCTTGCAGAAAGCGGAATCTTTCATAAATTGCATTATAACAAAGGAATCGCGTGAATAAGAGAATCCGTGTGAACAAATTCACGACGATATATTGTAAGTGGTTTCTGCATTTGCTTGGCGCTCAGCCAACGCTCGCCGCTTAGTGGATCGTTAGCGTTGTCTTTTTGTATGTGAACTTATCTTTATGAAACGGACTAAAATCGCTTCGCTGCTGTGAAAACAATTTACTTTCTGTTTGTATTGTTTTTTTTAAAGCTAAAGACAAACTAAAATAGTTTATTACATGTTAAACTATTATAGGGAAATTAGATTCGTGATTCCGACATCGATTGCAAAAGACTACAGTCAAAATTCATCACCAAGGGAATGTTAAATTAAAAGTTCTGACTACAAAGTTTTAATTACATTGTTCTTCTAAAAGGATGTTTAAGCGACATACTTATTTTATAAACTATTAGCTGTCGCCCGCAACTCTGTCTGCACGAATTAAAAAAAACTTAAGAAGTAGCCTTTGTGTTCTTCCAGACTGTTCGACATGTGTGCAAAATTTCATCAAATTCCTGAAACAGGCATCCTTCCATCCAAACATTCCCATTTCTATTATTACTAAGGTATATTTTGTTTACAATATGTAATATAGTAGTGTTTCCAGCACGGCGTGCACACGGGGGCGCAGAGTGTGGGCTGCGGCTGGTACTCCGCGTCGACCGCGCCCGCGCCCACCGCGCCCGCGCGCGTCAAGAGGGCACAGCCACCACCACAACTACCGGTCAGTATCTATTGATTTATTCTTACAATACGTAAACGGTATTATTTTCAAATGCTTTGTATTGTTATACGAGAGTTTACTAGAGTTTATTTTTTCGCAATAGAATGGGATAAATGGGAATTAATAGTTTGTTACCTATACTATAGGAATTGATACTTAACCACAAATAACATAGTAAATTTATAAAACTCAAAGTTCAAGAGTTCAATGTTTATTGTAATGTTTTGGCATTGTAAATACGATCAAAGAAGTGTCTGACATTAATATTGGAAAATTCAATAGATTTTACGCGAAAAATTATTGAATTTCATCTTTAATACCTATCGTAGTGTATTTGGTGATAAATAACTTTCATATTCAAAAATGATTTTCCAAGCATATTAAGAAGCGGTGTCCGAGATAATCAGTGACCCGGAACCAAATCAGAACATTATGACCGCGTCGGATGAAGTAGGCACTAGTATACGAAATTGAAAAATATCTGCAGCTTGAAGAATTTGTTCTTTGATTTTCATTCTTCTGTAGTCTCGAGGTCAAATACAATATGATTGTTCTATTGAGTGTACTTAAAACTTTTATTGTGTTTATTTATACCTTTGTATTTATTGACTATCTTATCAAGTGTATAAGAAATTTGAAGTTACTAACTTTACGAAGTCGCACTATTAACCGGGGATTATTTTAGCCTTTGTGATATTTACTGTACATATTATTTTTGTTAACATATTAAGAAACTGATGAGTTAATTGTTTTTTTTTTAATCCCTCGTGTAATTATTTCCGGTATATAGTTTTTGTGATTCAAAGCTATTAGAAATAGAAGAAAAACCATTTTATTAATTTATGCCACGTGCACATTGAGCTCGCAAGTCCAAGATCATATGACTCGTGTCATTTAGCGCGATTTTCCTGCATTTGTTTATAACAAAGACATAGATTCTTGTTATTTACGTCGTATTGTTGCACTTTAAATTATATTTATTAATTACTTAGATGTGGAAAACAGCTATTTGTATATCATAGTTAAAGATTTTATTATAAAGAATAGATGTGTTATCATGTAAGATGTTTATTTTGTTTGTAGACTGGAGGAGGCGGTGTCGTGATTAGTAATGGTCCACACGTGCCCCTCTCGCCCACCGCTCTGCAGAATTCTATACAACATAATGTAAGTAGATCGTTTATTGTCTATTTTTTTTTCTTTTAATTTGACACAAAGTTAATATAGACAAGGAGTCTAAAATCTATTATTAATAGAAAAAATCTTTGATATCGGTCGAATTTTGTCTAAGTGGTGACCAGTAGTAACAATATTTATACTTTGTTTTACTGTAATGTAATGTTTTCTTACTCTTACTAATATTATAAATGCGAATGTTTGGATGGATAGATAGATGTTTAAAGGTGTCTCCAAAACGGCTGAACATATAACGATGAAATTTGGCATACATATAGTACATAGTCTGGAAGAACACAAAAGCTATGTGTTATTCCGTGCGGACGGTTTCGCGGGCGACAGCTAATTTCTTTATACACGCAAAATATTTTGCAAGTAATATTTTTCTTCAGTTAGCATTAACAGCGAAGTTGAACGGTTCGAATGTGATGTTAGAATGTGTAACAAACGCAGATGTTGAGTTGAGATGCTCATTATTATTCGTAATGAATATGCCTCGCATGCGAGGGACTGATTCATAATGCATACTGCTGGCTTGTGATGGATTTATACTGCGTTTCGTTTATAACAGAGGTCAAAATGAATTATTTAGTAGAAATTGACGCACAAGGAGTCGTGATGGAAAATTTTACAATGATCATCTTACTAATATTATAAATGATAATGTTTGTTTGAAGGTATCTCCAGAACGGCTGCATAGGTCTCTCTGAAATTGGCATACATGTAGAACATAGTTTGGTGGAACACATAGGTTACTAATTAAGTTTTCTTTAATTCCGCACAGACGGAATCGCGGGCGACAGCTAGTTCAATCATATATTGAAAAACAATATTTTTATACTTGTATTCCGTCATGTAATATTTAGTAGTTGATTCTATTAGGTACTTTGTTTTTAATTTCGAGAATGTATATAAGATATAAAAATGTTGTGCAACATTGTTGTGTGAGGTCTGCAATTATGTGTGTTGAAAACAATTTGTAATAATTTAATAGCGAACGTGTCGTGCTCCGTTTGTTCCGATATAAAATCTTACGAAATACAGCTAGCTGTCTCTCAAACTTTTGAAAATCATACCAAAAGCGTAAAATTGTGTTAACTTAGTAACACTGCGCTATTAACTATTACAAGATTTTTTTACGTATTGGCCAACAGTAGTGTTTTTATTAAAAAAATATTTTACTGACATAGATTTTTGGCTCTTTAAATTCGGATTCTTTTCTTATAATTAAAAACCGCAACAAACTCAATTGCTAACTTTTAATAAAAATAAAAAAAAGAAATTGCGCGTGATCGCGCATCGAATAGCAATGTAACAAAAATATTGATACATCTCGTGTATGAAGTTCAAGGTTACGATTCGATGTCGTATATAATCTGTATTGCAGTTGTCGTACAGCGCGAAGTGTGACGTCACGCTCGGGCAGCAGAACGTGATGTCGTCCTCGGTGCGAGCAGCAGCTCCGGCCGGGCCCGCACCCGCGCCAGCCGCCATGCACACCTCGCAGACCACACCCGGTATGTAGTACCCACTTACCTCTATAAATAAGCTGGCTGAAAGACATGGTATTTTGTGTGTGTTTGATTTTCCCCATTTTAGCGCTAAAGGTAATTTAATGGTCAAAGATATGTGTTTATTTGAAACGGCGAAAAGTTGATTGTCGAGGTTCGTTTGGCCACACCACATGGAGATCCGTGGTGTCTGCCTACCCCTCTGGGTTACAGGCTTGAGTTGTCTGGCACTAATGGTAGCGGTTTGTAGCGGTAGTGTGGATTCGAACAAATAATACAGATGGAATTAACTGTCAAGTAAAATCAATTGACACGGTCAAAGCTGTCATTTCCAAGCAAGCGTCTATACCAGAGCTGTAGCAGTACCGCATCAACATTGCCTAAGAAAGCATCTGCAAGACAGTGGAAGAGTATTGCACGAATAAATCGGCGTAATACCAAGGCCTCATAAGATAGACATGTATTGAAATTTTCTGCATTTCCTGGTTATTCTGACGAGTGATGTGACGACCTACTTCTTGTTTGTTCCCCTGTGTCATCAAAATGAAAAGTGTGATAGTTGAAACAAAATACTAAAAAAAAATCATTTTCCATTCATCGCACAAATGATGTCTAACCCAGTGACCTGTTCGCTTACAGTTGCAAGTTGCAACTACTGTTTGGACTAGTTTTTTCAGATGAATGTTAGAGAAATAAACGGTTTTCTATATCGGTATGGCATTCCGAGTACAAACTGCAAATATTTTTTAATTGCGGCTTTTGTTTGCGTTCTTTGAGTAATGAAGCGATAAAGTGAATACACTATGCAATTAGGGTCAAAACCTGGCCCAGTGACCGAGTTATCTACAAGACAGCTGTGCGATGCACTGAGCTACTGTAGAATTAACGTTCAAGTTATACGATCTTTAATTAAAATTTCAACTACTGTTGACATATTATGATTGATGATTTATGTCTGGTGACAATTTTGTTTGTTTTTTTTTACTAATGTCATTCGTAATTTGCCAGTACAAAGGTACTTTAGGTTTATACTTGTATTATACCTCGTTAAATTGATCTAAATAAATAATTTGAATATTGGTTTATCGTTAATTATTCGCAGCGGTGTCGAAAGGCGCCAGTGACGTGTTGGTTAACTCGTCGGCAAACCCTCCCGCAGCCACGAGGCTTGTCAACATGTCGCAGTGGCCGTAAGTACAAATACAGATAATAACAAAAACCAACAACAAAATCTACAATCCAAATAATTTACGGATATATCTTAAGTTTACATCTCTAACGAGTCAATTAACCATAGACAATTATCACTTTAACAGTTGCTTGACCGTGTACCAAAACTTTTGTATTTTGAAATAGAAGGAGAAAGACGAAACATGAAATTGACATTCGTGTTATGTTTGACAGTTCATGTCACAGTTTCTTGTTCGACACGTTTTATCTTATCGCCAGATACAAAGCACGTATAAAACTATTCGAGGTTACCTATAAAATCAGTTAAACTTCACGGTTACTTTTTAAAATAGATAATCGCGATTCGTTTCAATAATGATATCTCAAACTAGGACATTATGAATTAGCGATTAGTATGTAGTAGAAAGATAAATAAAAATAAATTAGGGGTTTCCACTGCCGAAACATTTGTATATAAACATATAATAATTATGTTATGTTTTCTAATTGTGTAAACTTGCGATAATATGAAAAATTGATTTCCTTAGTACTTTAAAGAGAATGTGGTTCATTAATTTTTAAATGAAATCGAGACAAACGAACAATTATTTAATCGCTTATTCATATAGATTAATATATCATAAGTCTTGTCTTATCTTAGCTTCGTGTTATCTCTTACGTAGCGTAAAGCAAACATTGGAATAGGTAGTACCGAGCTATGGACAGTGCAGGACGTGACACTGAAGATCAATCGAAAAGTGCAACCGATTCTAATAATTGGGAGTAATTATTACATTTTTTGTGTTGGCCGTTTATTATGTTGTGTCGTGTGTTACATACGAATGTTCAGAAATCATATTTATGTAGTTAATTTATTTTTGGTTGAAGTAGTTGTTTGTGTTTCCATCGAAGTGAATTTAAAAATTTTGAAATTTGTTGATAAATCATAGCCTTGTATGACGATTACAACAATTGCGGTTAAATAGTACTAAAATTCTGGATGATTCTGGTGATAATTCTTATCAAAACTATATCAACTGTTTAAGAGCATTTTGGTATTACTTTTATTTTATACATCGTGTTTTACGAACACGTGAAATATCAGTTACTCAACATCTGTTTTATTGTCTAAATATTTTCACGTTTCTAACAAATTGTAAGTTGGGGAAACACCTGGCCTACATATATCAGCCAGACGTTCTCATGACCCACTTCTAAAATAAACTGTTGCAACCATTTAATTTTATTATTGCTTATAATGTGCTCATTATTTCATAAGTTCTTACAATAGTGGTTATACTATTTTCCGATATTAAATTAATACGATACCTAAGTCCTAAATGCGAAATACGTGTACTTGCTGTAGCCAAAAGAAATAATCGAAACACTTTTTCACAAAGAGTCAAGTTATGTTGTAGTTAGTTATAAAATGTTAACTGAATCCACCAGATGGCACCACGGAGCGATATCTCGCGAGCGCGCAGAGGCGCTGCTGTCCGGTTCCCCGGACGGTGTGTTCCTCGTGCGCGAGAGTACCAACTTCCCTGGAGACCACACACTCTGTGTCCGTTTCAGAGGTCGCGTTGAACACTACCGGTATGTACAAACACCAAATCACTTCCCACATAATACTATTATCCAACCAGTATATCTCAGCACCGGGAGCAATTTTGCAAAGCAAAAGCAAAACTTATTGAACTTCTATTACTCCCTCAGTCTTAAAAGGTAACCAAGTTATGTACGAAAATCGAATCAAACCGCTCTCATTGTCCCTCCCCGCCTAAATTGCCCTCATAAAAGTATGTATCACCACATAGGAATTACTTATTTTTTTTTGTTTTCGTTTCAGGGTAAAATGGGCAACCGCTCCCGACAGTCAAACGCAACGTCTAACAATAGACGATGAAGAGTTTTTCGACACAATGACGGATTTAATACATGTATGTTGATTTCAATTATTTTAATAGTTACTTACTGAAGCAAACCTTCTTTTGACATTTCTTTTCTGTTGACAGCATTACCTTCAAGACGCTGATGGGCTTTGCACGAAATTGGTCCGGTGCTTGCCGAAGGCGGCAATCAACGGTGCAAATAACAATGGCGTGCTGCAACCGCCATATCCACCGCATCCTCCTGTGAGTTAACATTTTAGTTTTCCAAACAATGTGCAAAAAACCGTAAATAATAATTTATAAACATTTAAAAGTCTAATAAAAAATGTTTCCAAAAATATAAATGTTTATATTTTTTATTGTAAAATGAATCAAAAGTATAGAAGAATAAAGTGTATATTTGTTTGCAGCAACCTCCCCCGTACCCGCCGACGCCGAGCGTGTCGAGCGCACTTAGCTCGGGCCACTTCCAGCACACGTACGCGGCGCAGGCGCCCCCTAGCGCTGACCAGACGGACAGCGCGCAACACCAGAGATTTGTAGATGCCCGTAAGTACTTCTTCAAACCTTGTATATCGGTGAAAATCGTTCAGAGCGGTGTAGTAGATTGTGAATTAAAATATTTTTTAATTTTCTAGGTTGGATAATAGCTGAACGAGATTTAGAGATAAGAGAAAACATCGGCAAAGGCGAATTCGGCGACGTGATGCTTGGCATCCTCAATGGCAACCAGAAGGTGGCCGTCAAGATATTGAAGGACAGAGAGGCGGCAAGCAAGTTCCGAGCCGAGGCCAGCGTTATGTCGTAAGTTTATTTTCTTTACATAGTTCAGTGGGTTAATTGCTCGAAAAAATTAAGATATATATAATGTTACGTGTAATTTAATTGGATTTTTCTTTGGCCGACTACAACACAGACACTTGAAAGTCACATATTATTATTAATTCCTTGCTATAATATTTCAGTTCATTGAAGCACGACAACCTGGTGCGTTTGCTGGGCTGCGTGGTGTTCAGCTCGAACGGCAGCACTTGCATAGTGACGGAGCACTGCGCGCAGGGCTCGCTACTCGACTACCTGCGCAGCCGCGGACGACACTACGTCACGCAGCAGGACCAAATCAACTTCGCATTGTGAGCACTAACATACACAAATTATTAACTGCTGCATAAAGATAATCCAAATTTGTAATACCTATCTAAACGGCATCGTTTGATGCAATCCTGCTCGAAGGACCATAGTTCTATACTAAGCGGTTTTTTTTCGTTATTACATTCAATTAACAGACATAAAATCAACAAATATAAAGAGATTCTATCAACATTACTTTGCTATAATGGATAAATAAATCGGCTACAATTTAATAAAATTCTCATTATAAATACTTCTGTTATTGGATGACAAAACTAAGTTGTTGGTATTGTTTAGTGACGCGTGTTGCGGCATGGAGTACCTGGAGCGGCAGCGTGTTGTGCACCGCGACCTGGCGGCGCGCAACGTGCTCATCTCCGCGGAGGGCACGGCCAAGGTGGCAGACTTTGGGCTGGCGCGCTGCGAGACTGCGCCCGAGGACCCCGCCGACGCCATGCGCGTGCAGGCCAAACTGCCCATCAAGTGGACAGCGCCCGAGGCACTCAAGTACAATGTATGTACACTATTACTGTATGCCAATCTAAAGTTTTTAGTTACGAAAGCTAACCCATTTATTGTCTACATATACTTATATATCAATTTTAAATATTACTGTTTTGTTACAGAAATTTTCCAACAAGTCGGATATGTGGAGTTTTGGAATATTACTATGGGAGATATATTCATTCGGGAGAGTGCCATACCCTAGAATTGTAAGTAAACTCATTGTATCATCACATATAATTATTTTGTAGTGTGTTAAGAAGCTATTTAAAGAATCATTTGCACATTTTAATCATTATATAACGTATGTCACAGCCGCTGGCGGAGGTGGTGCGGCACGTGGAGCGCGGGTACCGCATGGAGGCACCGGAAGGTTGTCCCGCTGGTCCTTACGACGTGATGCGCGCCGCCTGGCACGCTGACCCCCAGCAGCGACCCACCTTCGCCGCTACGCGCGCACGACTCGCTGCCATGAGGGACGCGCTGCACCACGCACACCAGGTAACATGACACAGATACGTACGCACACACGTGCGTACATACACGTCATTGTCAAATATGAAATACAATAATGTACCACGATGAGTTTTTTCGTGTTTTTATATAATTTTAATTCTTTCGTTTCTATTGTTGCAGTAAAAGTGAAACGGCCAAATGGTGGACAAAATAAATTTAACTGTACATTATATGAGAATGCGCTGTGAAGATGCATGTGTATTTTATATGTGTATTAATTAATTAAAACTTCATGTAAGTAACTAAATTATTTTGATAATAAATATTTAAAGACACTTCCTCGCTTAAAATCTAATTTAAAAAAGATGGTGTTTTATATAAGATTATATTTGATGTGTATTCGTTGTGTACTCTCGATAAACTTTTGGCTGAGGATATCGTTTACGAATGTTATATGATTTATTTTTGGATTGCTAGCCGTTGTGAATGTGAACGTAGTATTCGTCTGAAAGTTATTCCCGAGTACATCGACATAAGAATAAGTTGTAATGTTTTCCAACGCCTTGTAAAAGTTATGTGTAATTTGGTGACCGTATGCCGGTACTGTCGTACTGTCTAGTCAAACATAATGTTACAACTATATTGTTTGTATATTATCATTTATTTAAACAGATTCTGACTGATAAATTGTTAAAGCTATTTTAGCAATTGTATGCACATATTTCAAATGTTTAAACAAAAATAAGCTCTTGTATTTTTCGATAAGGTTCAAATTTCAGCACAATGATGATATATTCTTTACCAATTTTTTCTTGTTAAAGGAATAGTTTTTACATGATATTAGTAAGCGATTCATTCCTTTACGATTTTAGCACTAAAGTCTGATGTGTTTTGAATATGTTTTGTGCGTTTTTTTATTAGCAAATCTGCGTAAATGTGATAGGATTGGTTACGTGCACTTTGTGTTATTGTAGGGGTGTGATTAGTCATAATTGGGGTGTCAGGGGGAGGGTGTTACGTTAGCCAACTTTAAGGTTGTGTGCTATTTTAAAATGTAGATATCTCTCTTATAATGTGTTTTTTTATTTGCTTCATAAATCTATTGGATAGTGTTGCCAGGTTGGTAAAGATTTGTTCAAAGTGAAATTGAAGAAAAATTGAATCTCAAAATAAAATTGTATTAAAATTCCATTAGTAATGTGACCTTGTATGCTTCAAATTATTATAAAGTAAATCCATTTAAATAAATCAATGATATTTATTATGTAAATATAATAATGTTTCATATCGCCTAAGTCCTTCAAAACAAACGTGAAGGTAAACTTATGCTGAAAATTTTCAGGTCATGTCCAGGTTTGTGGCTATTTAAAAAATGATGTTCGTTTCGTATTTTTATGCAATACTAGTTATAAGTGTTATGTTATTTTTATCGAGTTATTTATATTCACTGTCCATTTGTATTGAAATAATTTCGGAAATGTTAGTCTGAAGGCAGTTTGCGACTAATTAACTTCTTTGATGACAATGTCTGCGTGCTACAATAAAAATGTATGTTTTATAACATCCCACCTAAATAAAATAAAACTTAGATAATTTGGTGCTTTTTGTATTCAATTGTAAAACTTTATTTTAACTTAATTTTTCAGTTACACTGTATCTATTTTTTTTTTCAAACCATATTTTATCGAATTTTTACTATACAAGACGCATATTGTAGTTCTCAAGGACAAATGTAATTTATTGAGTCGCTAACTTCATATTATGCAATGTTAATTGCATTCTACCAAAGTATAATTATATAAATAATTTAAATATACGCAACACATCTAGCCGACTGTATTGTGCTGAGCTCCGGGATTAGTTTTCTAATACATTTTAAATATATTACTTTGTGACGACTTGATTACTGCAGAACAATACGTCAATATGTTTTCATCCTACTCTTTGAAACAAGTATATATAGTATCAAATTTAGTGTAGAAGCCCAAAACTATTTGATATATTATATTCTTGTTTATTGTATTAGTGTACATCACAAGAGTCGTGTCACAATAATCCCGAATTGCCTTACAGTTGGCGCAATTGTTTATTGCCTACGATGTCTAATTTGTCAATGAATCCGAAATCTGTTTGAGTCGTTTATTATTGTACCATTTTTCTTTAAATATGTAAATACATGTAACACTAAGGGATAAAATGTATGATAATAATGTACGAATAATGACATTTGTTTTATTTTCTTGACTTTGGAGGTGTCTGGGACTCGGCGTTGGTGCCGCACTGGCTGCAGCAACAGCTACCGTCGCAGTGACCCACGATCTCGATCAACGACAGCTGCTTCTCCGTCTCCTCCTTCTCAGTCTCCTCCTTCTCCTTGTCCTTGTCCTTGCCGTTATCCTTGCCCTTATCCTTATAGCTCGCCGTGCCCTTGTACCGTTTTCTTGTGCAGCAGCAACTGCGTTTCTCTTCTTTCTCCTCTGGTTTCGAGTCTGAGTCGCTATCTTCCTCGCAGAGACATTTCTTCTTCTTTTTCTCACCTTTTACTTCTTTCTTTGGCTTCAGCTCTTCGGTGGTGACCTTTTCTTTCTCTGAGCTACTCGACTCCTCGCTCTTTTCCAATTTTTGATCGCTCGATTTTCTGAGGTTTGAATCGTGTTGACTGGACGTATCTTTTTTAATTATTTCAACGGGAGATGGATTTCTACCTATTTTGGAATTTTTTTCTCTCGACTTGCTCTTCGAAATGCTCTTTTCCTTTACCAAAGACTTCATTTTGCTGCTTTCGTGTACTTTGTTTTTTTCAGTAACCGTTATCTCTTCGCTATCTTCCTCGGAGGTTGAATCTCGTAATGTGATTACACTTTTGTCTACTGATTTCTTCTTGGGCGGGCATTCACAGCAGCTATCTTTGCGTTCCACTCCCTCGATAGACATAGCACTCGACACTCGCTCCGGTTCCTTCTCGGAATCATCTTGGCAGTATTTGGTATTGCCGCTGGCGACGCCGCAGGGACACGGCCTGCCGCAGACGAGGTCGAAGAGACAGGTCGGCTCGCGAACTGCCTCGACTTGCACAGCGGAGGTCTGTTGATGTCGCGAATGTGCACTTGGATAAAAATATTGTAGGTCAGAGGTCGATGTACATCTATCGTAGTGGAACTGGAAAAGAATAATGTTGGTTTTCAAATATAAAGAAAAAAACATTATAGCATTTGTTCAGTTTATATAGTGATTGTTATATCTCATTGAACATTTGATATCTTTGAAGTTCAGAATTAGAGGGTCTTAACATATAAAATATTTAGTTTATGATACCATAAGGTTGATGAATGAATGTAATACCGTCTCATGGTTCGAAGTATAGGTAATTTGCGTAGATTTGAATACGGAGATTTTTCTTTTGTAACGTGAGAAAGAATAAAACAATTAGTTTCGTAAGATTTAGTGATCGTCATCGCCCATAAACGATAAAGGAATTGCAGATGTAATAAATATGCATAGATAAAATAATAAGTTTTATTTTAAGTAACTTGCTCTCTTTCGATTTCTATCTTATAAACCCCACACCTATTTAAATATTGTTTTTAAATACCTTAATAATACAGAAAATTTGGTCGTGCCTTTACAAAGATTTCGATATCTTGACTTATCGTCCCCAAAGTATTGTTTTACTGCCATAATCTGCATTCTAAAGAGAAGTACATATATTGATTTGTATTTTCCCAGTTGAAAACCAGAGTCTTGTGAGAAAGTAAACGTAATATTTGCGTAAAATATTTTTTTTAATTTTGGGGTCATCTTAGTGATTAGGTTTAGTAATATTTTTTTAGTGAACGCCTTTTTTTACACTCAGGGTCTATAGATTTAAAAGTAGAGCATCTTATTTTAGGTCTATAATGTGAAAATAAGACTACAAGATATAAAAAAAGAATATATTAAAATGTTTGACGAACCATGTTGCTGTACCCTAAGGCAGGCGTGTTTGTATTACAATCGGAAGGCATTATGTTTGCAATAAAGGGATCCCCACACGGTCTCAAATATTGCTGACCAAAACAGAAAGATGGTGCTATCCTGCAATTGAAATGACCACTAGTTAGTACCAAAAGTATCGACTACCTTCGCTTTTATAGTACGCAATTGTTATGGAGGAGAGGAGTGGGGAAAACCGAAAAATGTTTTTTTTTACCTACACGTCATTTACTACCGAGGAACTTTAGACTCTTTAATCCTATTTTGTTGACTTAAGCAAATATTATCAAGTATTCGAAAACGAATGTTTTGTGTCAATTAATACTTACGGGTTTGATATATTCCGTATAAACCAGGCTTGCGAAGCTAAGTTCCAATTCACGTTCATCGTTGGTTGCGCGTACGCGCACGGTGTCCACACATCGCGTTTTATTGTTGGGATAAAGAAATACTGAACACTACCATTGGGCAGGACAACAGATGTTACATCGCCCTCCCCTATAATTTCTGGATTTTGTACGTTGTTCTGCACAGCTAAAACAATATAAGTATTCCGGTATCTTTGCTAGTTGCACAATTAAACTTGAGCCAAAACAAGACTAAACTTATTTTTCATAATCATTCCATATTCTCAATATTTATTTATTCGTTCATTGTAATACTTGTATGCAAAACTTGCCCGCGCCCTCCCTTGCACTTACCCACCATTTGACAAACGTATCCTCAAATTTAACCGTCTTAGATGCTACAAGTAACTTTCTTGTCTCTAATGATATAATATAAAAAAAAACTTGCGAAATAATACTTACGTATCTGAAATGGTATATATTGTACGGTGTTTTGAGGTCCAGTGCCGTAAAAAAAATTAGGTTGCATGGTTGGTGAGAAAAACATCTTTCTTAACTTAATCGAGTAAACATATTGCGAACGGGGCCATTGTTAACATATTATTTAGTTGTATAAATATTATTTTGATATGGTAAAGATGTCCATGGTTATTACAAAAGTCATTGTGTGACAGATTTTTGATTGCCAAAATGATGTATAGTTTGTCTTTTCGTTTTTACGTCTAAGAAGTTTTAGTTATTTTATATTTAAACTACGTGCGATTTACTAACTTTTCTCCTTTTACTCTAATAAAAAAAAACACTCCTTCGAGATGCCGATCGAGATATTTTATTGTAGAATATGTTTACATAATAGTCTTAAAAAAGCCTTACCGTGTTTTTGCCTTTATAAAAAAATTAAAATTAAAAAATCCCCATTCATTTTACGCATATAATAAATAACATACATAATTACATGTACTATACAATAAAAAATAAACTTAAAATAGTGGAAACCAACATCAACTGAATACTGCATTTCTAATATGAAAGTTAACAATGTAGTCTGAATTAGTTCTTTGCACGCTGATAGCGAAGGGGTCTGTGGGGTGGAATGTGAAGGCGACGAGGCGACGCGCGCTCGCCGGCACAGATTGCCCGATCACACCCGCGTAGATCTTGAACTTCAGCAGACCGGAATCTCGCGCGTAAAATCTGATAAGAAACACGATATAATTACAAAAAGAAAACTTAAAGTACCATAAACTGAAAAAAAAATGTATTGTAAGACCTGATAAAGGCTGGACTTAATAACAGTTTATATATTTGTTATAAATCACACAGTCTCTAAATTATATACAAACGAAAACGTATTATATAACGAAAAGCGTATAAAAATATATATTGTGTTAATTATAAATATTAATAATTCGGTTAATACATACCTAATAGGATACTCTCCATATGCTTTAGGTCTTTCCATAACAGACACCCATTTGTCATCGTAACTAAACAAACCTAAATCTAAATAAGGTGATCCACTGTATGACTGGGCACTTATAGGTAATTGCGCTAGAATTCGTTTCGTTGCCTCTGTCCGGCCACCATATATTGCTCGAACGATAGTTTGTTTGAATCTCTGTTGAGTTAGCCTCGCATATAAATTGTTAGACGGTGAACAAGTGAATTGTGAATCAGCGCATAATCTCGCATTTCTAAAACAATCGCAATAGTTCTCGAATAATTGTAATAGTGCTTCTGAAGTGTTCTCATACACTGCTAATATTTTACTCCCACTTATGTTGTAGATTACAAAAAATGATGATTGGCTATTAGGTTCCGCCACTCTCAAAGTAACCACCTCTTCACTTGCATATTTAATGAATAAATGATCTTCATCTAAGAGCTGCATCTTCCACATTCTAAGACTTTTGAACATATCAAAGTATTTATAAAACTTTCTCAATTCAAATGGATCATTTGTACTGTCGCTTATACTCTTTGCTCTTTTAAAGAGAAACACAAGCAATCTGTGTTTTAAACTGTTTATTGTCTCTTCGTGGAATGGTCTCTCGCTTGTCTGTGGTGTAAACACCGAGTTTACAATAAATGGGTCATCATCAAAACAAAATCTTCCTATTTTTCTTATTTCTATTAACATTCCATCGACAATTTGAAACAAATGAATTGTTTGATGCTGCACAGAGAGAACTGCTAACATTTCTTTGTATAGATAAATACCTTGATTGTGTGATAAGTAGATTTTGTCAATTCTAAAATGCTTGGTGTCACAAAGTTTACCTTGGTGAAGGTCTACCAAGTGAAGTGAATAATCTTCCAGTGCTGATCTGAAAATCATTGAAATTAATAAATTTTTTTCTTTTCATACTGAAAATTGTTATCATATAATTTGGAAAAGTTATTGTAAAGAGAAAACCAATACAATTATGATAGTAGGATAAAAGTAAAAAAAAACTATTAACATTTTTGTTTATTATTTAAAATGATTACCTAAGTGTTGGTGTAACAGCTTCATTGTTAGTGTGTATATGATAAAAGTGTGGCCTTAGATCATCTGGTATGTGTCCTGCGGAGCCCACAATCACATATCTACCATCCTCGGTGAACAGACTGCATTCACGGTTCAACTGTTGCTCTATAAACGGAAGCTGCCCAGGGTTACGTTCAGATCTTAATACCAATCTTTGTTGGCATACATTTACTGTAAATTTTGGCTAAAATATTTTAAATATTACTTAACATTAATGAATCATAAGAAAGTGATTGTATTCAAACAGTTTAATATGAGTCCTATATGTAAAATTATCAATATTAACATAATATTTGATAAAAACTAACCTTAAAAAACCTGTAAAATATGTGAGTTCTTATTCTATGATGAACATCTGCATCGGCATTTAATAAATCCGCAGGATATCCTGCCACAAGGTCTCCTGCTGCTGAAGCACCTCTATATTCATATATCTGAAAATAAACATGTTATACCATCAGACATCAAATATAATTAGATAATAATGTATCCAATTACCTAAGACTTGTATTATTTAATTATGAAACAGTTGAATATAGTAAATGTTATTTTTTTACCTCTAAAGATGTTTGATCAGCTGAAAATGCTATAAAATGCTTTCCATCAGGGCTAAATTTCCGTAAGAAGCAAGGAGGTTTCTCTACATTAACTATTGTTAAGTTAGGAAATACATTTTGATAGAATTCCCTTACGACATGGAAGTGTGATCCAGGTTTTCTGGAGCCATAGATTTCTCTATCCATTAGTCTTATTACTATATTTTGAGGTTTAATTTTTCTTGGTACAATCCTTTCGGTACAAAAGAACTCGTCCTCATTAAGCGCTCCTGGGGGAGCATCTTCGTAGTATACAGATGCCATTATTTACTTAGTAAATATTAATATTGGTGCTACTAGAAAATTACAACAGAGTGAATACTTGATTCATGTTTTTCGTAGTACTGTACACTTATATTATGCTGTGTATATGAGTTGTGCTTTATTTTTTTGGTTAGTTAATTTGTTATTAATAACAAACGATCGTCTTACTATATCGTTTTAAAACTAAAAAGTTAATAATAAAGCGATGTAAACAATAAACACGTAGATGTGACATATAACTTGTAGTGACATGAATTGTCAATGTCAACACGTCAACTGTCACTCCTCGTTTTCCTCATAGATTTGAGAAAACAAACGCAAAAGATCCCTATTATCTAAATTGAACATTTTCATTTTTTATACTTTATTTGAGTAACAACTTTTATAATTATCATTAATTATTAGTAAAATTAAAATATCTAGGTAAGAACTAGATAAAAATATTTATTTAAATAAGGAGTGTAGAATTATTATGGCAAAGAATTTTTACCCGGATAGGTAATTCCCCCGTCGTCGGTTGGACGGGTAATATACACTGTTTCAAATATACCTATATACATATCTAATGTTAGTAACAAAATGTCGTGACTTATGTTCTGGAATACTTTATTTTGTTTATATATCGATATAAAGTATAACGATATAAAAGTTTAGGGACAGCAAAAACGTTTATTTAAAATTTACTGCTTTAACAAACATCATTTTAAAATAATGATAGTATTTATTTTGTAACAATAGAAGGCTTTACAATTTTTATAAGATTTTCAAGGGGTGTCAAGAGTTGACAATAAAAAAGAAACACAATTGTTTGGCCTTACAAAATTCTATTACTTGTTTATGGCAAAAGTCAAACAAAATCTAAACTGTAATCTATTTATTATAGCGTTCTACATGCAAATTCATTATTTTGGCGTTAAGTAATTTTTGTATATTTTTGGTTAAAGTTTCTATAAGGTATTTTTAAATAAATTAAGTTTGTACGTAATGAATTCATGCACTATTTAATTTACACCAAATAGCAATACACAACAAATGGAGGTCAGTTTAACTATACGATATCTTATTTTAACGAATTATTTGATTAATGATATTTTATATATGTCATTTAATAGTTGGGATTCGACCAAACATACGGCGAAGATCAATGTGTAGTTCTTAATCATAAACCGGTACATTTCAATGCAAATAAACATAAAAATGAAGGCAAGTTAAGTTTAAATTGTATATGTAGTTTGAACAGCGTAACAGTTAGGAATATAGGATTAAACTTGTATTGAAACCGCAACAGATATTTGATGTAACGCTAAATAACTTTTTAAACGCACCGTAGAAAGCAAACTTGTAATGGAGCAACACGTCAAAGAAGATATGAATGAAATGGCAATGTTGATGCGAAACTATGATAACAAACTGTATGGCGAAGATGACACGTCCCAGCCCACTTCCTGCACCGCCCCAGTCATACCTCCAGAAACAACAAAAAAGAAAAAAAGAAGAAAAAGGTTAGAATATAGCCTATGGATGCGGTTCATAAGTGCGTATTTTCACTTAGCGGTTACCGCAACTCGCGCGGCCTATTTCCGCTGGTGTCGTCGAGACTGTTACAGAATAAAAATAGCGCGCTACTTTAATATAATTCGATCAAAACACTCGCGTTTGTAGTCGTCCACCTTTAGTCTATGGTCGATTTTATCGCTTCATCGCGGTAGTCCAAATTTTGATTTGGCCACTCGCAGTGATCGCTAAAAAGTACCCTGCTACTTTTAGCAAAAGGTAATTTAAATTTTAATGCTGGTTAAAATATCTTCAATAGTACTAGGAATCAGGCATTTTAAAGATGTTTATTCTCAATAGATCTCAGATAACCGTTTGCCTCACGAACTGTCGCTACGAGTCTATCCGTAAAGTGGCGAGTGCATTCGGCATGCGCGAGGTATCTGAGGACGAGACGTGGAACTTCTACTGGACGGACATGAGCGTGTCGGTGGAGAGAGCCAAGGAAATGAAGCGATTTCAGCGCATTAACCATTTCCCTGGAATGTTGGAGATTTGCAGGTATTCCTTGCACAATGTTCGTAGTAATCAGGTAAATTTATCCAACAAACTCACTTCAAAACCACAGGGTAGAGAAATTACTAATCGTTTATGTTTTTAGGAAAGATTTACTGGCGAGAAACTTGAATAGAATGCAAAAAATATACCCAAAGGAATACAATTTCTTTCCAAAAACATGGTGTCTCCCTGCAGAGTAAGAAAAATTGGTAACGTTATTAATACTACTAGTGCTAGTCGTGTTAATAACAATAAAATAATTTTCAGCTTTGGCGATGCACTAAACTATTCAAAAACTCACAAAAATAAAACGTTCATAATTAAACCGGAATGCGGTAGTCAAGGTCGAGGAATTTATTTGACGAAATCATTAAAAGATGTTAAACCTACTGATAAACTGATTGCACAGGTTTTATATCTAACAGTACTAGTATCATCATAGCAGTAAAAGTAGCGTTATTTAAATCGTAATTAATTATTACATTTCTTAAAGATTGTAGGAATGTCCATATGTCATAAAAAGGCGGGATTATAAAAGGGATCATAAAGATATTTGAAATTTCTAGGTATATTTATCCAAGCCTTACCTAGTAGATGGCTACAAGTTTGATATCAGAGTGTACACTCTCATAACTTCGTGCGATCCTCTCAGAATATTCGTCTATAATGAAGGTCTTGTTAGGTAAGCATTTATCCTATTATAGGTTTCCATTGTCTTAAAAACTTGTATAAAAACATTCCCTATTCTCACCGTAATGCCGTAATTTTAGATTCGCAACGAGCAGATATGCGGATCCGAATGCTAATAACACGACCAATGTGTTTATGCATTTGACAAATTACGCGTTGAACAAACACAGTCGCACTTACGTGTATGATTCTGAGGCGGGGAGTAAACGGTAAGATTTTATCCCTTTATGTTTTAGAATTCTACACAGATTTCAAAGATGTTAGGTTTTGTTTAATCGTCATTAACAACTGGAATATTTCCATTATGGCGTCTGCTTTCAAAATGACAGGCTAAGTGATATAAGCACTAAAACATCGTATCAATAATTGTTCTTTTATAGCTCTAAACAGTAATTAATCCTTAACAAAATTTCCTCTTCCTGACGTCAGCAAGATATCGACGTTGAACAAGATTCTGTTGTCGCAAGGAGTGGACCTGAGCCGGTTGTGGTACTCCATAGACCAAGTTATCGTGAAGACCATTATCGCCGCGTGGCCGATACTCAAGCATAGCTACCACGCCTGCTTCCCTTCTCATGATACGGTTCTCTTTGTATTGCTTACTTGGTTTTTCGTAACTTTTAACCGAAGGTTGTTTGTAGTTAATATTGGCCTATTTCATTCACAATTAGTTAATTTTAATCAACGTAGTTATTTATATTTTTCTAAATATGCTATTTTTAGGTTCACGCTTGCTTCGAGATTCTCGGATTTGACATACTTTTGGATCAAAAGCTTCACCCTTATATTTTAGAGGTACGTAACGTTAGTATACAATACCGTAAGACCAAAATTAAAGATATCTTCATCCCTTGCGTCAACACAAGGCAACCTCGGTTACAATACCATCTCAAAAATGTGTTTTTTCTTGTACCAGGTAAATCATTCCCCTAGTTTTCACACCGACACCCAATTAGATCGCGAAGTGAAAGAGAGCCTCCTCACAGACACATTCACAATGCTTAACATCTGGCAATGCGACAAAAAAAGAGTTCTGGAGGAAGATCGGAGAAGAATAAGAGATAGGCTGCTGCAGACCAACAAGTAAATATTACATTGAAATTGGGTTTTACAAGGAAAAAAATTACTACAAATAAAGCTTGAAGTTTATACAAATTAATAAGTAACATGTACAGATTCCCGGATTGTTGTCCCGGAACTGAGGAGAAGGAGCCCGAGAAAACACCCTGGCAGACACAGATACAGTGGGAGGAGACACATTTGGGTAATTTTAGGTACAATTAATTTGATTTTAAATCATTAAAAACTTATATTTTTAGCTATGCATTCTAATAAACTTTAGATCTGGTCAAAGTTGAGGGACTATATTATGGAAGATGTAATTGGTCCATTATACTGCTAAGAACAACTGTAGTACTTGCATGTACTAGTCTTTTCAAATATATTGGCGGCTCGAGCTCATCTTCTCGCTACACTCAAATTTATGTTCTGCGAAGCGACTGGCGCGAAATTAAGAGCCGCCACCATATTTGAAAACAGTAATACTAATTGTAATGTGTAGACGCGTGTACCCCGAGGGCGAGAGGTACGCGGCACTGTTCCAGCAGCCCTCAGGCTCGCTGTACACCGGCACGGCGGCCTCGCGTGCTCGCGGCGACTGCGCCAGGCAACAACGAGAACAGTTCGAGGTGGGAGGCTGTAGTCATCATTGAACAACACTTTGAAAATATCAAGATTTACATTATTAAATTTTATTTACTTACAGAATTTGTTAAAGTCAAAGTCTAACTGAGAAAGTAGGAAGTTTTATCTATAACTTTTGTTGGCATTAAGGCCACGATTACATCCAAGTCATCAGTCACGGTGATCAAAAATCCGTTCTTGTTTATATTATAGTATAGAGAGTATATTATAGTATTATTTTTCTACAGCAAACGAAAGCGAAGTCCGAAGCTCTGAAGAAGCCATCTCAAATGAAATCTATTAAAGAGAGTGACAAGAAATCTGACGAGAGCATGAGTGGTACAGTCGGAGAGAGTATCACAGAAAAACCTAAGAAATCACGGCCTGACAAGGACCAGAAGAAAGAGAAAGAACGAAAGGATGAGGATAAGGAGAAAGCGAGACAAGAGAAAGACAAAATGTCTATACAGTCGCACCCTGTTAGTTTTCCATAATTAGATATTTCTTATTGTTTTTTATTCATATTTCCAATAAGCTACCAGCGAGTTAATAATACTAATGACACTTCCAAAATATATATTATAATTCAAAAATCTGTAGGATACATGTGTTCAGTTATCTTGGCGGCTTTTAAATTTGCGCGAACCTCTGCCCAGAACACAATCTTAGATGTATTGGGGCGTAGCGGGATGTTGGGGGAAGGTACTGAGCCGCCGAGATATGTGAAAAGAGCTATATCTAATTTAGATTTACTTGAAATCTCCTCTTCTCTTATGTAATAGATGGTGGAAAAGGAAATAAAGCCTCCGTACGTGTTGTGCTCTTTCGAACCAGATCCTATTGTTGAGAAGGAGGAACGCGAACGTATCAACTTGCTCGCTCAAAGAGATTTCCTCATCAGGAGTTACGGGATGTTGGAACAGGTTAAGATTTCATTAACAAAGTATTAAAAAATCTTTAAATATTGGCTTCCAATAAGTAGAGTTCTGATGAGCTTCAACAAATACTAATGTTATAAGTTGTTTTAAGATTTATTTGGCGATGAAAAAAATGGGAACCTTGAGACCGGAAGATGAACGCAAATATGGTGTCTACGGACGTCTGACTGCAATATCCAACTCACCGAAGGTCATTAATGATTTTAGATTTTATGAAAATATATTAGTTTTGGTTACTTATACAACATTTAAATTCAATATTTGATTTTATCAGAGAGACAATATTTAGAAGGAAAAAAAAACATTTTTCTGCAGAGAATATAACATTGACAACGCTACATCCAAAAATAAGAAAAAAAATAGAACATAAAAAGTATCAAAATCATGGGACCGAACAAATTCTTGTGTGCAGATTGCCGCTAAGAAAGCTAAAACACCAACAGTCGATGAATCCGGCAACGAGGTAAACAAACTAAACGAATGTAAGTTTTTTGTCCTACTATATGATAAAATATATAATACCTCCAGAACATAGTCTGGAGGAATACCATCTAGCAAGATTTTTTTTGATTTCGCGGAAATTAGTAACGTTTATAAATATATAGCAAAAATTATTAGCCAAGGGTTGACTTTTTCGCGTGATCTATCACCTTCTTTGTTCAATTTATAACACGTAAAAAAGAAAACTTCAATTTAATAAGTACTTAAAAGTTTTTTTTTCTTTTTTGTATATAACATTGGCAGTGTTTCACGTGGAGTGTCGCAATGCAGTTTTCATGAGACGTCCATTTTGCCGTTGAATGTCTCAGGATCTCATGTGAAGGATTATCTACGTAACATGGAAATAGGTAAGAATTATATAATACTTTGTTTTTATTTAATAGAACTACCCAGCAAAGTCAGCTCACCTGATGTGTCAAACACACCCAATACCTAACTCTAAAACTTAATCATGCAAGAAAAATTTGAATTTCAGACCGTTTATAAACTGTCAAAAAACGTATTATAACTAAGTTTTACCTATTCGGTGACATATGTAATATTGTTCTAGTTACTTTGTTGCCAGTTTCGAATCGACCTATATTTCTCTAAGCTAAATGGCTCGGTCCTTCTCGGCCCACGCAACTAATAGATGGTAATTTTTTTGGGATTTTAGATTTTTGTTAGTTAATGTAATTACAAAAAATTTATACACAAACTGTAATTCCATTTTATTGTATTAATTTTAAAAGAAATATAGTTTCATGGATAATGAAGTCGGAATGGTTTTCATTTATTTTAAGACGAACAAAGTATGTACATATTTTCTTCTATATACTCAAATCTAACAACTTTCTAGCTTATTAAAAAATCAAGGTATTTGTTAAGAAAAACAAATTGCATCTTTAATCAAAATATATTTGTCTGTTTTACAAAATTATTAATCAATAGTCTATAATAAAGTCAAGCTAAAAGTCCAGCTTTATTTTGTAACGTAAACAAACCAATAGAATCAATGATGAAATCAACAAATGCATTATTATAAATGTATTGCACTTGCTAAGTCCTCAACAATGGCAGTGTCAGGTCACATTTTATTGGAAGTTCAGAATTGTAAACGTTTAGCGAGACTACCGCCATCTATATTGTCTAATAGTTTCCTCTTGAGCGATGGCTTCTCGGATTCCATTTTGAATATGTTTGTAGGCATTGGCAACTTCGCACCTACTGTTGGTGCTGGTTTATTGCTGCAAATAATATTAATATTATTTTATATTTTCAAAAGTAATGGTTATCTCCATAACTAGTTGGACTCTATATCTTAAGCAAACACATTGATAGCTTGAACATTACTTTTAATATCTATGTTAATCATGAGCAATCGAATAATATTAACACATTCCATGCCATAAAATATTTCCTAGCAAAACTAACTCACCAGGCAAGTCAGTGGTATTAAACATGATAATTGAAATGCTCATTATGTTGACAATTAAAGTTAAATTCTAACAGTATCCATCAAAGTAAATGTTGTAGAGTTTGTTGTGTACCTGAAGTAGGGCATCTGTAGTGCTTGCGTGCAATCACATCGTGCAGGCGGATACAGCGCGAGCAGGCGGTCTAGCAGCTGCAACAGGTCGTCCGCCGCTGCACTGAAGATATGGCGCAGCTGCTGCGCCGGGAACTGCTTGAACTGCACATAGTCCGTCAGGTTCTTCATGCCCTGGAATACAATTGAAAACAGTTATCACAGCATGTGTTAAAAGTATAATATATTTATGTATAAGAACAATTTCTTTAGTGCAATGTTAGTCAAGAAAACTTAATTTTTTCAATGAAAAATCTATGGAGTCCCGATCTAACTACAGAACCAATTGTAGTTATAATGTTTTCACTGTTGTAAATAAAATACTAACAGGCCATGTTTCCTCATTCGGTGTTCCAAACACTTGGAAGATGCGGGAAAGCTGATCTAGATCTGACTCCCCGGGGAGGAATGGCACTCTCAGCAGTAACTCAGCCAGTATGCAGCCCACCGCCCACATGTCAACGCCAGTTCCATACTGCCTTGCACCAAACAACAACTCTGGAGATCTGTAACAATATAGGCAACATTAAATAACCACTAATTTTTAGGTTTCCTCGATGATGTTGGTAATCTCTTGTAGTGAGTGATCTGAAATATTTTACCCTGCAGTCATATACTGCCAGGCAGTGCAATATTGTAAAGAACTATATCAACAGAACATAAGTTATGCTTTCTTACTAAACTCTAAACATTACTATATACATTAGAAAAGTGTTCCTAGTCTAGTCTTCCTATCTACCATATTCTTTTAGCTTTATAACACATGTAAAACCTTACCTATACCATCTTGTCACAACTTGATGAGTATTTATTCTGGTTGGTGATCCAAATGCTTTTGCCAGACCAAAATCTCCAATCTTTAGTATTCCTTCACGGTTTATAAGTAAATTATTAGGTTTTAAATCTCTATGCAATATCCAATTTTGATGTAAATACTCTAATCCTGAAAGTTTTATACAATAATTTACTAAGTAAACAAAATAGATACTAAATTAACAATAACTAAAATTGAATAAAAAAGATACATGAACAATTTATTTATGTTTTTTTTTTACCTTTCAGAGTCATAATAGTGTATGCTTTAACATTAGCAGGAGTAAGTACAATATTGCTGTCCTTTACTATTATTTCTAAGTCAGTATCCATAAAGTCAAACACTAATGATACATTTGACTTCTGTCCAAATACATCTGAAAATTAGATTGCATTTACAAAAAATTATACCCCACAACTGATATTATAATAACAGAAATCAGTTGTTTTTTGTTTATAGAAAACATTGAACTGAACTAATAGTGAAAAGTAAGTAAGTAATTAAAGTTGTTATTAGCTTCAATAATGACAGTATAATCAAAAAAGATAATAGAACAACCTAATAATCCAATGAGGTTGATATGCTGCAATTCTTGTAACAATTTTATTTCTCTGAGAGCAGTGCGATTGATCCCATCTTGAGCCTCCAAACGCGATCCAATTTTTATTTTCTTGACGGCTACTATTTTATCGCTTTTCACATCTTTTGCTTTATATACTGTAGCAAACTGTTCAAAAGAGAAAATACATTTTTTGATAAATCAAAGTCCACTCACAAATTTATCGGTAATAAAATTAAATATGGTTATGTTAATACAAAATTCCATTTCTACAGTTATTATACAATTAGTTCTCATATTATCGTACCTGTCCCTCTCCCAGAAAGTCGATCTTCTCATAACGTAAAGTTGGTTCATACATTATTATATTATTAAATTATATCTTCAAAATTGTAACTTCATTCTACTTAATTATTTACATGTATATGTACTTAACAGTTTCATTTATGTTACGATAAAATACATTTACATCATTATTTCAAGACAAAATATAAAACTACACGACAACACGGAAACTGACTTTTTAAGTTTAAATTTGACATGTCCTTTCAAAATCTGCAGTCTGTAGTGTTACCATGTAACAGGAGACAAGATAACTATCGCACATCTATTTTTTCTTCTGATTAGTTTGCTTATTTTCGCCTGATTTTATTTATATTTTACTGAGTTTTTAATAACGATATTGACAGGAAATAAGTATAAAAACAAAAAGAAACTAGAAAATTAATATGTTTGCAAAATCATAAAAAACATTGCGTCACTTTTTGTCTATGATGTGAATGCACATTACAAATTTTTCATGTAAAATTCTTTATCTGTGGTCAGGCGCTTTTATCGTCAAATTGTAGTGGTACATAAATTTTACTGTTCTTCTAAAGTACAGAGTCATCGATATCAAGTAAAATGGCAGAAGGCCAAGAAGAACCGAAAAAGATAACAATTACAGTAAAAACTCCAAAAGAGAAACAACAAGTGGAAATTGAGGAAGATGCTGATATCAAAAAAGTATGTATAAGACTATAGAATCTATATTAAATGGCGTAATAACATAGATATTAGACACGCAATCAGTGGTGACATTTCTTTTAATCATCTACAAATGTAAAAATTAATTTGGTTTGCATTTTTAGCTTAAAGAAGTGCTGTCCCCCAAGTTCAGCGCCGAGCCGGAGCAATTATGTCTGATTTTCGCTGGAAAAATAATGAATGATAACGATACATTAAAACAACATAACATCAAGGATGGTTTGACTGTTCATCTTGTTATCAAGACGCCTCCTAGACCGGAGCCAGAGGGAGGGACACGGCGTCCCCCAGGTACTAACTTTGCATATGTGACTATTATATTTTAATTTAACTTTATTGGTATAAGCTTAGTAAAGATTGAACAAGAACTTACTAGAAACCCCAAGTATATGTCTATGTCTTTATAGAATTTCCTGCATTGGAAGTAATAGAACATTGTTGACTCCAAATAGTGTATGTGTTGAAATCATTGATTTAATCAAAATGTGTCAATTGGTCACAAGTACATAGGCACACACATTTTTTTAAATTTAAATGTGTCAAAAATGATAATCTACTTAATAAATGCTATGTAGTAATGCAGTGCTGTGTTTGTATAATGTCTAAGTAAATTTATAGTTACAAATAGGCTTATTTCTTTTGCTGTGAATTTGTTTGTTCAATTCAATGTTGTGACACTGGTTTACAAATATTAGTGCTATCTCTGTTTTTCTGAAAAGAATAAGAAGGATGGCAATATTTTTGTGATATGACAGAGGTGACTCACAGTTACACCCTTGAAAATAATGCTAATTATTTCCTTATAATTTATATCTAGTAAAATTTGGTTGATTAAAATAAGCTGTCAACTTTCAGCTGACATAGGTGCAACACCTTTTGGATTGAATTCACTAGGAGGTCTTGCTGGTTTAGAAAGTCTCGGCCTAGGTCAGAGCACATTTATGGATTTACAGGTAACAACAATAACTATATTTCTGTAACCTTCAAATATAAAAACATTAAAAATCTGTGTATAATTTGTCATACTTTTACTATCTCAGTTAAATTTTATTGTAATTGTGCTACATTAAGAAAAATTTAATTCTCAAGTTATAGCAACATTTGATTTTATCCCTCATTAAATTAACATAAGTAATGATATATATAACATTTATTTTAGGCAAGAATGCAACAAGAGTTGCTGACAAATCCGGATATGCTCCGACAAGTTCTGGACAACCCTCTAGTGCAACAGATGATGAATGATCCAGAAAATATGAGGACACTCATAACATCTAACCCCCAAATGCAGGATCTGATGTCTGTAAGTAACATTTGATTGTGAAACATGTCACAAGACTACAATTTTTTTAAATACATCCATATATGATGCAGATGCTACTAAAAGAGGATTTTGTTGTTATTTAATTGGTAGATTTCATTTAGCTAAGATTTAATCAAGCCATTTCTGATAAAAGTCTACTTTTCTTTTAATACTTTATAATTTCAGGACATAGTCTAGTGAAATATTCAACTTTATCCTAAGCATTTTAAAAGTCGAATTTACACAATATTTACGTATTTGAGTGTATATTTCACTTATGTTTATAATGTACATATTTTAGAGGAACCCGGAAATCAGCCACATGTTGAACAACCCGGAGCTGTTGCGTCAGACCATGGAGTTGGCCCGCAACCCCGCTATGCTCCAAGAGTTGATGAGGTCGCATGATCGCGCTATATCCAACTTAGAGAGCATACCAGGTATGTTACTTAACACTTAAAATGCCTCCAAATTGAACAGCAGTGGTGGTAACTTTCTACAACTTTTCAGAATACTAACATTTATTGTTATTTTAATACAAAGAAATAGTAGTGGCAATTAATGTCTTTAAATAAATATTTATTTTAGGTATAAATTACAAGTCTTCTTTTATTGTTTTAGGTGGATACAATGCACTGCAGCGCATGTATCGTGATATCCAGGAGCCGATGCTGAATGTAGCCAGCAGCATGGCTGGCAATCCATTCTCTGGATTAGTGGATAATTCAGGTCAGTGTTTATTGTGTCACTAACAAAAGCATTCTTTGAAATTGATGAAGTGAAATTTTTTCTACCTAATTTAGTTTTGACACTAATATTTGATGATATTAGGATACTAAACAATACATTTTGTACACAGATGGTACGAACCCGCAACAAGGTGCTGAGAACCGTCAGCCACTGCCCAACCCGTGGCAGCGCGGTGGGGGCGGGACCGGGGGTGGCAACACTGGCAGCGGAGGAGGTGCGGCGGGCCCGGGGCTCATCAACACGCCCGGAATGCAGTCGCTGCTGCAGCAGATGTCGGAGAACCCCCGCCTCGTGCAGTCCATGCTGAGCGCCCCCTACACCAACAGCATGCTGCAGGCCCTTGCCGCCGACCCTGATATGGCCTCACAGCTTATCAACCAGGTAACAATACTGTCTATTAGAATAATTGGTTACTATATAAAAAAAATATTTTGACCTCACATAGGGTGAAAAGTCAGTAAGGTAATTTAATTAGGGAACTGTTAATTTAGTTGTTTAATAATTTTATGTTTGATATCAACAGAACCCAATGTTCGCCAACAACCCACAACTGCAAGAACAAATTCGCACGATGATGCCGCAGATGCTGACTCAACTTCAAAACCCTGAAATGCAGCAAATGATGACCAATCCTCAGGTAATTATTGTTAACAATTCATTTTGAGCTTAAGAGCCATTAGTAAAGTTTAATTAGATATGAAGGCGTGCATCATTGATACCGTTTTATAATTATTGTATAGGCTTTGAATGCGCTGCTGCAAATCCAGCAAGGCATCGAGCAGCTGCGTACTGCGGCGCCCAGCCTCGTCAACAACTTGGGGCTGGGTGTGGCGGCGGCGGGCGCGCAGCCTCCCACCACGGCGACCACCACGCCCGCCTCTAACACCACGCCCACCGCCACGCCGCAAAACGCCACACCCCGCCAGCAACAAAACTCAGAGTTATTTTCACAGGTTTGTGTCTAGACAAGTGACATGTCAGTACAGTTTTTCTTATAAAATAATAAAATCATTGAATATATTTGGGTCAGTTCATAAGTTATTTAAAGATTGAATTATGTCCATATTAGTTCTGGACATAACATTTCTTAAATTATGGTTGATGTGATCCTCTTGAACATTTTCTAACATTTTGGTACATCAAATATATTTGATGTTATAATTATTGTGCAAAGTAGTAATTGTTTTGTTGTGTGTACAGTTCATGCAGCGCATGATGTCCGCGATGTCGAACAACCAGAGCAACACGAACCAGCCGCCGGAGCAGCGCTACTCGCAGCAGCTTGAGCAGCTCGCCGCTATGGGCTTCCTCAACAGGGAGGCCAATCTACAGGGTGAGCCAATATACATTAGCAACTTAAGTTTTCTTAACTTTGAACAATTACACATAAAAGCGTTACTTTACGACTATGGCTTAGTGAGAGTCTTTAACTTACCAAAGGCTCTTCAGTGGGGACTTATAGTGAGCTGACATGATGATGACACCAAAAAAAAAATAGATAAAGCCATCAAAAGTATTAATATTCTCATTGAAACTAAATGTACGTTTTTGTTGCAGCGCTGATCGCAACATTCGGCGACGTGAACGCGGCCGTGGAGAGGCTACTGGCTCTGGGCCAGTTGTCTATGAGCTAACGACCTTGCCCATAGACACGACTCAACTCACACCTCTTTCGGTTCCCCTCCTTACACTCCCACTTCTAATGCAATGTATCACATATTTTAAAACTATTACAGCTATTGTGTTTGAATGTTTTGGTGCTGTCGCAATATGTCCATTCGTCTCTTCGTATATATGTTTCAATCGCTTTATTTCGTTGGAGTTAACACTGTATTTTATTTATCTTTTTTCATACCTAAACAGTTTAGATGCGATTTTTAAATCTTAATGTCTATACACTTAATAAAGTGATTATTATCTATGTATCCCGTAGTGTAAAATTGAATGTGTCAATAGAATTTGTCTTAAAACATACACATTTGATGTAGTAGATGTATCGTAAAATGTCGACGATAAAGAATTATCTTAGGTGACAGAAAGTTAGCATAGTAAAAGCATTTTATGCTTATATTTTCATTTAATCATTCTTTGCAAAATCTTAATGTAATAATTTTTATCACTCTGCCTCTTTAATGGCAATACCATACAAGCACAGTTTTCATTTTTAGATAATTAATTATAACATGTTTCTGCAAAATATTTAAGCTAATAAGTTTTAGCTTGCATATGCGTGTAATGTACACTTGAATAAGTGTAATTTTGAATTTTTCATTTAAAATGTTCACAATATGTGATTCTTTTATTTATATAATACACTCATTGTTATAAATTACGACGTAAAGTGTGGTGCGTGGTAAAAAGATCAATAATCAACATTGTGGTTTTACTGTCCTAATATTAGAAACCAAAGATTTAAATAGATAGGCCCTTAAATTTGATCTATTTTATCCTTCTTTTCAAATATCTTGGCGGCTTAAGATCATCTGCGGGTTGCGTAATGCCCTCCTCCCGCATCCCTTTACGCCCCACTACACCTAAAATTGTATTCTGCGCGACTAGATGTGCCGAACCGTCAAGATATATGAAATCCTCAATTCTATGTCGTGACTTCAATAATAAGGACAGCCCAACCTAAACTTTAAAAGGTGTGGTGTCATTAACAAAACTTTACCTAGTCTCAAGTGTGTTAAGTTACACAATAATTCAGCAATATGCCACACCACAGTAGCGGTGACACAACTTCACCGCTTAGAAAGTTTTTGAATGATTGAAAGATGAAGTTTGATTTTATTAAAATACTCTACTGCGTTGCTGTACCGCAGTCGTTTTCATTTTTTGTTGTAAAACTATTTAGGGACGCTAGACCGCCCTTGTGGCATCTCTCATTAAAAATGTGTAATAGCTTTTTTTCATAAGTGCACCAATAATTTAATCTCTGGTTTGCAATTATAATTATTTTTGCCAGTTGAAATGCACTGTTTATGTGACTGCATACATATGACTGAAGATTTTTTTCCTCGTGTATTCGGTGTGTTGAAATTATATATAAGAGCCTATCTATGTATTTAAATCTTTGTTAGTAACCTTCGTAGCGTTGTAAAAGTTGTAATTTTAGTAGCAATTCATTCAATCTAGTAATTTAATTCCATTCCTTTATATCTAGGTATTTAATAATTTTCTAGGGAAGACTTACTTTCCCTATCATGTTGGGCAAAGGTAATATTTTAAGTTCGGTAATTTATCATATTATTTTTGTAAAGAAGGTTATATTTGTCTCCGGTGAATATATTTTCCCATATTTTTTTTTCTTTTCTATCAATGTTTAAATTTACTTTAAAGTTAGATTAAAATTACATTTATGATTGTAGGTTTATGTAAATAGTTTTGTTTTACAATAAATGTAAAAGTAAAAATGGTTATAAATATAACAAATTGTCATGTTGTTTATCTACCCACGGTTGTTTATATGTAATATTATTCAATGCTTATAAATTATATGAGTTGCTTAAAATTATTTACACATATGGTATGTATTGTATGGTGACTGATAACTGATATAGGAATGCTATATAAAATATAATCTGGGATTTTATCATTTTCTTTAGAAATATTTGCATGACCCGTAAATTTACCAACCCATTACAAAGTAATCTAAGTTAATCGAAATAATAATAACTTGGCTACAAGTTTATATGATATGGACAAAACGCTATCGACTGGGCGATTCCTTTGTATTTAGCAGGCTAATATGGAGGCAATTTTTTTAAAGGGTGCGTATATATATATATCCGTTGTGTTGAAACCAATAATTTAACATGATCTTTTTTGAGAAGTTCATTCGATTTGTATTCTTTTGCCTCAATATTACATTGATTCTGTGCCCAAATTCTATGATTCAGCTGTACTTTCCCGGTCTCAAAACCATTGGTTCTACTACATAGAAACATGCAGTAGCAACCCAGGGTTGACCTCTGACTGCAAGAAGGCATCTACAAATCCCACAATTAGAATAATAACGTCATGCAATTGTTGTTGCATTATTTATTCTTTAAATAACAACTGGTAACTCAAGACCTTAACTGTCAATGTCAAAACAGTGACATTAAAATGCCGCAAAATGGCAGATTACTTTGATTTTTTTATATTGATTGTTTTAGTAAATGTACTGATTTCATCAATATAAATCCCTTATGAAAACGGACTATATATGACCTTTGCGTTATTGATAAAACTGGATTTAGTTAAAGAGTATTCATTAAAAAAGGTAAGTCGTTAACGATAGGAGAGGTGCTTTGAAGTCTCAAATTTCTGCTTAACTTTTTTTGTTTAATTGCAGATAATATGTATTCTCCGCGACAGAAAGTTCTATGGTTTGCATTTAATTCAAGACTTGCCGTGATATTAATACAAGCAATAGGTAACTCTGTATTGCCAGACCATGATGCAAATGTATTTATCAGTCCAGAAGACCCGACATTACGAAAAACGACGGCAGATTTGGTTGTTGATAAATTATTAGGCGGTATGAAAAGGTGGGATGCTCAATATTTTATTCACATAGCTCAATATGGATATACATATGAGAACTGTTTAGCATTTTTTCCATTGTATCCATTTATTATTCGATATCTTGCTTTCATGTTTAGTAGCATTTTCGGAACATTTCTTAATTACCATAGTTTGTTACTGATATCTGCTACAATAATTAACCTTTTTTTGTTTATAAAATCTGCAGATATACTTCACAGATTAAGTTTGAGAGTTCTAAGAAATGAATGCTATGCATACAAGTCTACCATATTGTATTGTGTAAATCCTGCAAGTATATTTTTCTCAGCACCATATTCTGAGACTTTATTTGCATTTTTGTCATTTTACACAATGTTCAAATGTACTGAGAATGAATCTCTTAGATTTGCTAACATTGACATAACAAGTGCATTCCCCGCTGCTTTATCTATGATAACAAGATCTAATGGTTTAGTTAATTTGGGATTCATATTTTATGCAAATTTCAAAAATGTTGTAGAAAGAACTTTGCCTGAAATTGTCAATAAATATAGAATTCTTAAACATAGAGTTATGCTTCCAATCTTGTTTTTACCATTTCTTACGAGCAGTGTAGCATTGTTTATAACTGTAATGATTGCATTGATCCCCTATATGCTTGTACAATTGTATAATTATTTTAAATTTTGTAGCACTAATGTTCATAACTTACCAGAGTTTTTATCAAACACAGAATACATTTTGCCTGGTTCCGGGGACAGTCCTTGGTGCAATTATTCAATACCTTTATCATATTCTTACATACAAAGTCATTATTGGGAAGTGGGATTCTTTAATTATTACAAAGTGAAACAAATACCAAACTTTTTGTTGGCTTCTCCAATGCTAATTTTGATTTTATGTCATTCATTTTCTTTTATAAAAAACAATTTAAGGCTATGTTTTAGACTTGGATTAAAAGATAATATTATTAATTGTGGATATATGAACAAAATGGCATATAGGCCAAGACAATATTATAAAGAATTTGGGACCAATAATCCGAATGTATTTGTCTATGTAGTTCATGCATTATTTCTTAGTGTTTTTTGTATTGTGTATGTTCACATTCAAGTTTCAACTAGACTTTTGGCATCAGGCAGCCCAATTTTGTACTGGATATGTGCAAGTAGGATGAATGTTGGACCAACACAATCATCTGATCAGAATGCTATAAATGAACACTTTAGACGAGTTGGCACTGGCAAGAGAATTCCTAGTTATCATCTGTCAATAGCTAATTTAGAAGGGGTAGACAATATGTATAGTAAATGGCGTACATTTATAATATCTAGGCACATGCCTGATTTTCAATCTCGATTTATTCAGTGCTATTTCATTGGATATTTAGTTATAGGAACCATCGCCTTTTCTAATTTTTTTCCTTGGACTTGAATTATAAACAACTTGCAGTGAATCATACATATCATTTTGACATTTTAATTTAGCTTCAATATGTAATTAATACATATTAGTACTTACAATTGTTGTATTTACATATCACTACTATTTTAATCTCGAAATTTTAAAATCCAATAAATCTTAAGAAATAGGCTAATTTAATTCATATATATGTATATGGGGCCTTCTTTACTGTTTACATTTATGTATAGATAAATAGCACTTGTAATTTTAAAACTTTCATCACTATTTTATGGTTCTAAGCAGTATTCCCTATAGCAGGCAATTGATAATAAATATTTGACGGAAAGAGAAATCTGGATTACAATTTTTATTACGCTAAAATTAGTATTAACATAAGTAAATTGATTGAGAGACAATATTTCAAATTATTCTCATCCAAGTAATGTGTTTATCTAGTCCATTTTATGCTAGCATCAATTCTTAGGTAATTTTTGTCTGTGTGAGATCTCTGTCTAACCCAAATGAGACAGAAGATTGCTTTTATTTTAAGAGTGTCCCGTAATTAGGCAGTGTTTTATGATTTTGTGGAGGATTTAATTACATACAGCACTTATTAATATGTTTCTTAAGATAATATTGTTTCTATTCATTCTTATAAATTAAGTGAGGTATCTTAGGTCTTCTAATAAAAGATTTACTTTAGTATTTTAATTATGGTGATGTGTCTTGGGACCCAATTGTAGTATTAGCAGTGTAAGCTTAATTTAATTAGATTTGTAGGCTAATAGAAAAATAGTACACATGAATTATTCCAGAATTATTATTCCTTTGACTAGTCTCATTATTTCTATATGGCTGGACACTAGAAGTGCTCTTTTCCGTGTCCTAATTTGTGGATTCCAATCGCGTTTTATCTTTGACTGCACATATCGCTTTAAAATGAAATTATACTAGTTTGAGTTACATGTAGTGGTGATGGTTTACTCCAAAAAGCTTATATTGGAAGTTGGACCATCTTGGTCATGTTGAGGAATAATTTTTAATGAGGCTATCTTATGTTATACTGCACAAGTGTTAATACTTTGCTAGTTTAAGAAATAAGAGCCAATCATCTAGTCTTTTATTTAAGCTCTAGTGTAATTAATTTTATTTTATTTTTTAGTAATTTATTTGCTATTGCAGGGTATTTATGAAGTTGTTTTGTATATTCTTTTTAATTTTTTTTAAAGAAATAGTGAAAATTGTATTTACTTCGATTTTGAAAAAATAATAAGATAGAATTAAGTACAAATAACCAGCGTTTTCATATTCAATAGTTAAGAATTTCAAGAAATAGATCACAATGCTTAAATTTATCATTGAACAAAATATCATTACAAATTGTGGTTGTGACATCTTTGCGTATTTGTGATGGAGTTAAAGCAATAAAAATATTTTACAAATCTCAAAATCGTTTTATTTATAAAACTGTCCTTATTACAATGCACATTTAATTTAAAAATAATCACAAATTTAAATTGTATAGTCCAAAAGCTATTTCAATTAGTAATTTCATTTCTTATGAATTAAATATAAAAATTGGCAGTTAATTACTTGAATCCACTGGATCATTGACTGTAGAATCAGGTTGCAGATCTAGAGCATCTTCTGTAGAATCTGGTTGTTGTTCTTCAGGTTGAAACGAAGCGACGGGGGCGGTGTCTGACGAAGGCTCTCCGTCGCTGGCGTATTCCTATGCTGCCACGAGGGCCGCCCGCAGTCGCTGACGGGCGCGGTTGACACGCTCCTCCTGCCGTCTCACATCATCTTTAGTTATAGTGACAGCAGCAATCAGTGGCTGCTCAGGGTTTAAAAAAACACCCGGATTTTCCATTATGGTTTGTTTTGAACCAGTTTGACCTGAAAGAATTTAAACATGGTAATAAAGATTTATCCCATTTCCCCTCCTTAAGTTAAAAAGCATAATGATCTTAATTTTTTCAGTGTAGTGTATGTTGCAATATAATATAGAATAATGAAGAAAACAAAATGTTACCTGTAATCGGCTGTGATGAAACATGAAGAGCTGTAGCCAGTGACTGTATAGTTGTTGCATCTGATGTAAACGGACCCAAAGGTTTGATGTATTTTGGCAATGTTGTTGTTCCTATCACACCATTTGCATCACAAGCAGTCAAATTCTAAAAAAAATAAACTTATAAGGTTGTTGTCGTTGATATGCATTCATGACTTACAAGCTCAATCGATCAAAAATACTGTACATGTGATTTTGAGATGATTTTTTTGTGATATTTGACCCATGTCAGCAAAATTAAATATAGGTACAAAATTTCCATACAAATTTAACTTTTCTCAATATTTTATTTACATACCTCTAAACGTTTTTCCCAGAACAATTGTTTTGGTTTCTCTTGTGTACCTTGTTTTAAATCTGTTTTCACTTTACTCTCCTGAGTTTTGTAAACAGTTACAGGCTGCTTAAAAATCGATGCTGTCTGTCGAATTGGAGGCACCAGAGACGAGTCGGAGCGTACTCCTCTGTTCAAGGAAAAGAACAATGAATAAAAAAAAACACTTCAGGAAATATCAAAAACTGTACAATGATTTTGGTAAATTTGTAAGTTTTTGTATTTTTACAATGCGAAAACATCTAAGATTATACTTATTTCAGTCTTATGGCCTCAACCAACATTTATCAAATATTTAGTGATTTTCACTCTTCATGCTTTGAAAACACATGCTTTTAATAACAAATGTTAATGACTTATTTAAAATTGTGTGTGACATTATTATAAACTAATATATAAACATTCACATATGTTTGTTCATTGTTGGTACCCACTAGTTTCGAGCCCATGGAGCGTCCTTCATCAGGGCTGTTCGTACTGGCATTTATTTCCAGATAAACCTGTGCACACTGAGGCCCTTAATAGGTTCAAAACTAGTCAGTGTAGATACCTGATGAGCATATGTGAGCATTTTAACTATTTATATATTAGTTTATTGTTAATGATATGTGAAGTATGAAATGTACACATAATTATCATGTACATGATTGTTTACTTTTAAAGGCTATGATATATGAATTTTACTGGAATGCCTATTAACTTACCTACTATTATATGCTAAGCTCATGTTATGACAAGAATTGCATTGTATTATGTGATCCTATATTTAAAAATAAGCTCTATGCTGAAAGATATAAATAAGCTCTTGGGTTGTAAGAAATGGTGATGGAGAAGCTATGGTATATTATGAATACTGTATCAATGAGTCCGCACACACACTGCAATCTATATTACTATATATTAATGACAATTGACAACACAACTACCTCAAGCTGTACACAAAGAATACAAAGGATCTTCCAAATACATAGATATGGGACAAGCCCTATTGCTACTTATCAATAAAGCTACCAGGGTAACAGCAATAGGTATATAGGTGTAAACACAAAGCACAAGATTGCACTAATGATCACAACACAAGTGATAAATTACTACATATATGGAACCTGTAGTCAAACTGCGCTCTAGCTTTCTTGGTCTTGCACAGGAGCATTGTGTTTATTTGGCCCTGTTGAAAGTCGAAACATGACAGGTCCATACTATCACCCAGATATCGAACTAGCTCTGGTTTACTGCGAAACTTTTTACCTGTAGGGCTATAGAAAATTTATTATCACCATAGACCGGTCAGCAATGACAAGCTGATGTTACAGTTAGTGTTTGTTAACTTTTGTCAATACTGAATACTGCAATGAATGGTCAATGAGTACCACAGTGTTACACATTTTTCTTCAGATTCATACAAACATAATTCACTCTAACTGGAAAATGTGATATTGCTCATAAACATTGTGGAAATATTTTAGTCGTTATTACTCAAACATTAAAACATCAGGATAACAATAATTACAAATAACATTTATAGTTTTATATTGATATTACAATGAATGTAAAAATTACCTGTAATAAAAAACATCAACTTTGCCAGCAGAAAGACCTGTTTTTCTAAGGACCTCTTCTCTTTGCCATCCTTTTGGCAAAGCTGAACAATCAGTTCTTTTTCTTTCTATTGAAATATTCATATTCTGCATTGTAGTCACTTTACAATAATAGACAACCCGTGAGTATTTAAGAACAAATGTATTTTCAGTAAGGTTTAAGTAGGTTATTGCAATGGTGGATAGAGCTGCATGTTTTTCAAAATCTATCAAGAACCCTTTAATATTCAAAAAAACACTTTATAACTTATATTTGAAAAATAATAATCGCTTATTTTATAACTATACTAAACGCAATCAAAGCAATGGTTGCTTACAAATACAATCAATAGACAAGTGACACTGAGTGACAGGACAGGATTCTTTTTGTCTGTTGTCTGCAAACACTTCAAAGAGTAGGTTATCAATACAAAATGGGTGTGCTACTATTTGGATGGTAGCCAGCACTTTGTTAATATTGATTTACGATTATATTAAACTTGGTAACCTATGAATTTAATACTCAATCCTAGCAGATTTTTAACAGGTTTTATAATACATTTAGACAAGATTTTCATTTACTCTGTGTATTCGTATTGCTTCTATATATGTCTATTCTATAATGTCATCAACGGATGTCAGAAAGTCAGAAAGTGCGTTTTGTGGGGTCTACTTTGCGAAATCGCGTTTCGCGAATAAAATTGGCAAATAGTTATTAATGGTGATAAATAGTGGACGATAAGAAATTCTGTTAACTACTTAAAAGTAAGTACCTGTATCTTATAATGTATTTCTTTTCTTGTTTATATGTTTATAGTAGTTGTCAAAATTTAAGTACTTTCACTTTTATTAGCAGTGACTTTAATATAAACAGAATTGTATACGTAACCAATTTGGTATTCCTAAGATGTTTCAAATTGTGTAAAACAATGATTTTTAAGATGTTGCAAATCAATTCTAATTGAAACATTTTACAATTACCTTCAACTTAATGTGTTTAGTACATGAAGATTTATTCCCAATAACTTATAATAAAATGATAACAATGTGTAATTTCATTTGTATTGCAATAAAATGAATTACTTTTAGTTATCAGAACAAGAACACCGCAAAACTGATTTTTCAAATTCATGGATAATTACCACCCTTGGATTTGGAATGCTTATACAATTTAAAGGAGTAGCTAGGTAGCAAGAATTTTAGCATTTTGAACACATTAATTCAGAAGGAAAGCCTAAAAAATTATTTTAATATTAGTGAACATGAATTATACAACTCTTATATTAGGCTTAATTTTAATCACTTTAGGCCTTTTAAAGTATTAAATTAAAAACAAAAATCATCGCACATTGCTTAAAAGGCATTCTTATGGTTTTTTTAATGTGTTCAATTTTTTTGTGTTGTCTTTTGAAACCCGTAGTTTAGCTTATTTACTATGTTGCTATGGATACATAGTTAATTTTATATGTACAAATTATTTCGTAACATATACAAAACTGTTAAGCTATTTTTTCAGTTATTACAAATTATGTGAAACTATAACATATATTTCCTTATCATAATTTTATAAAAATATGTTACTGAAGAATAGTTAATGTCAGTAGGACAATACATAATTTTTTCAAAGGACTTTCAAGGATATAGGTATCTACTAGGCCATGAATGTTAAATTCTTTGATTTGTGTATTAAAAGTAATTCTGTAATTTTTAAATATGATTTAAACAAGAAAAAGACAGGGTTAATGTTAAGCCAGTGTTATTGAGAAGTGTTAAGTCACACATAATTTCATGTTGACTAGAAATCTAAAATCTATTTTTTTCCTGTTCTGTTAAGTGTATAAATTATAAAAATATTAGTGTTTTATGTAGAAAGAAAATATGTCAATAAAAATTCTATAAATATGTTAATATGAAAGTTTTCAGAAAACATTTTATTGCTGAAAATTTATATTTTTTTTAATTTTTTGAATGTTAGTATGTACAGTATTGGGTAAATTTTTAAACAATTGGATCATTATTTATTAATATCGCGTTTAGTATAACGGTTAAGTTTCGTTTTGTAATAACAGTTTAATTTTTTAACTTCACAAATGTATAGTTACCAGAAATCATGTAATTAAGTATTCTTTAAGCTATATTTTTGTTCATGTTAATAATAGGCTTACATACATGTTCATGGAGTAACTAGAAATACTTTCGTAATACGGCTGGCAAAGCTCCCACGATAATTCCTTGAAATATTCATCTAGTTTAATATAATATCAGTTCGATCGAAATCTAAAAAAATGACGCAAACTTAGATTTATTACTTCTATGCATCTGTCGAATATTGTGACTATTTTTCTTTCTTCATGTAGCAGACAATCAATAAATAACGGTCCGCAGCAGAAATAAGTCTGTCAGTAATAAAATAAATATACTTGCCCTAAGGTTGATTGAGAGCATAAGCGAGCGGGAATTTTCCCGCGTTGAACAAATCGTGACGTCACTTTGGGTTTCCATTGCCTAAACATTTAATTAAAAAATGAGATAAAAATATGATTATGTACTAATGCTTCCACTATGGAAAACCCACGGTTAAAACGTGTGAGAGAGACAACATATTTTTCGAGTAGCGTTTCGGCAGACAAAATAGGTACAGGGGAGAATTCCCGCGCAATTTATACGACGTTAAAATTACAATTTACAACGCATTTTCTATACATGACCAAGCATGCTTACCGTTTTTACGTTTTTTTTTTCATTTCTGACCTTCGCATATCCCATGAAAGTTACGTTCGTTCGGCGATTGTTTACGATTTTATAATCAGAGATTGTGTATTTATAAAGGTCAACCTTTGATCATAAGAAATCTTACCTATTTCATAAACATTGTTCTAATCTAATAGTTAGGAAATGTTAAATATTTCAATTAATTTTGTACCATGCACATAAAATGTTATATATATAGTAGATAGTTAATTGAAGTACCCATTTATATAATTTTCCGTAAGATAACACAAATCATCAAGTCATCATCTTATTAATTACAGTTTCAATAATCGGTCATTAAATTCTATTTATTCTGTATGTAATGTTTTGTATTTGTTTAGACTAATATTACATAGTTCATCAGTAAGACCAAAGCTTCTGTTACTTTAACATTGTAAGAAACGTAACGATATATGAACCGAGTGTTTACATAAAAAAGGAGAATCGAATAATTGTAGTCTTTAATTTGTTTCTTAGGTAAATTAAATTTATAATCGTAGTTGTAATAAAGAATGATATTTTCGCTTAGTAAGACGTCACTGCTTAAAATAAACGTAGTAAAGGCTATAAAATTGTGACATACATAAAAGCGGTTTGTTTCACTTGGCAAATGCCAAGGCAGCACAACTAAATGTGCGGGCTCACGTAGCGTGTTCTGGAAAAAGAACGGACAATTTTTTTAGTTATCATTGGTGAAGGAAGGTAGGGCTAGTGTTGCCTTAGCCGAAATGTCAGGAGTGCCCCGTGACGTCATCGCGCGGCGAAATGGCGCGGCATTTCACGGTGCGCTAACCTCGCCCCTGCCCACCCTAATCTCCGCCATGGCTTGTCCAAATCGTCCCTCCGGCCGCCCGCTGAGCGCCGACCTAATTCCTTTATACGTTACTCGTTAATCTGACTATATATTGTGGACGATAGAGTAAAGGGGTCGAGGTGACGAGGTGCTTTGTTTGCTTATTTGTGGTCATCGTGATTTCGATCGAATTGGTTTTATTGACACTACGAACTTCGTACAAGTCGATACCTTTGATTGTAACGATATATTACAAATTATATGGACATAGGAAGGTTTTGTTTTTAATGTTTTTAACCTAAACAATGTCTGGTTATTAAATTTTGTCTTTCTTTAATAGGTACGCAATGGCTGTGGCGGATTCGAATCTGGCCTCCTTGATGCAATATTCTTCTTAGCTTTAGGTAAGTTATAAGATTTGTTTGTTTATCATTTCTTTATTATTCTCTGACTCTATACAAATGTACCTACCAAGATAGTAAAGTAACAGATTTTAATGTTCTGGCAGCGGGAAAGGGCTATTTGTGAAACTAAATGACATCCCATTTTTCTTTTTATTTGTTTTGAAATAGATTTTTTCTACTGAGAATACTCATGAGTACTTATTTTAAGCGAACATCTGGTTCCATACGCACCCAGACTTTTTAAATGTCCCCATTTGTACTTTCATAACTTCACTTATTCAAAAGCAAAAGTAACAATGCATAAAAGTTTAATTCGTAGTTAGAGTGAATTTAAATGGCCTTTTGAAAAGGTGTTCGATGTTGAAAAGCAGTACTAAATGTGGTTATGCTGCACTGTACTACTCTACTTTACAACGGTTAAATCATACGTAGATATTTTTAGTAATAAAACAGACTGAAATTGAAATATTATCATAGACAACGTATGTTTTCCTTCTAGGATGGTTCCATACAAATAGTTCTGTGATGTAATATGTACTTATTTCCTACCTATATGTATTTATTATGTACATATATGTATTTATAAGAATGTAGGTGTATCTGCAACGGACGTTTACTTTAGCGATGGCATTGTCTATATCGGTGACGTGATGGCCGCATGCCGCTCCTAACTCGATCACATAGGCTCGAGCTTTTAACGCGCCTCAAACTAGAACACGACCCTTTATTAACCCCGCTAATCTAATGTACACTTTATGTGCCAGTGATAAACTTGATATTCCATTGATAGGCCACAATCCAATTTATTAGCGAATCTACAGTATGTTTTGATTTGTATATGTTCTTAGCTAAGTATAAACTACCATATATACCAATTTCTTGGTATATTGAAACTTATTATAATCTGATTTTGTCGATGAATTTATTTAGCAAGCGTAGTTAAAACTTAGATTGAACACACTTTAACAGTGGTAGAGCCGCTTTAACATCTTCGCACGAATTGGCTCGGCTCGCCCGGTGAAATACCACGACCACACGGAAGACAGGCGTGAAGTGGAAGCAATTCCGCGTTTCGTCTGATGATGATGATGATTTGGCGTGCGTCTCGGAGGGCTAATTTCGTCCTCTTTCGCTTCCCGCCATTTTTCTTATTAGGTAAGGATGGGAAGCGGAAGTGGACTTTCCGGATGAGAAGATGCATGGGAAGGGAAAATATTTCTGTGCATCCTCTCCTCCGTCGATTAAAGGCAACGCATATGCAATTGCGTATGTCATGGGCAACGGTTACTTCGCTATTTCAGCGACTTCAGGTGGCCGCTCGCTCGTTTGCCACATTATGATAAAAAAACTTCCAATATTTTTCAGTCCAAGATCGTTGAAGTGTGAACCTCTGTAAGTTGTAATCTAAAATTATTCTTCCTAGAGTACGTAGTAAGTTATATTATGTGTAAAAATGACACCACACTTAGGGTGTCATTTTCTTATAACAATCTTCTTATGTATTCAACATGGCGCTATATGGTTTCAAACAGTTTGATAATGTACATGAAAACTATTGTTATTTCTTTACTATTACAAGTATTACGAAGAAAAAAGTATCTTTTGTCTATTTTTATAATTTACATTTTAATTCATGAGAGTGGATTATTGCCATGTCAGTTACCTTGTGTTTTTCTCGGTTAGTAGAGTAAGGACAGACGACGTAATGGATTAAGAATTAAATTAATCTACATTGAATATCAATCATACGAACCGCTGCACCCATAAATATATAACGCTCAAAATTAAGTTCTTTTAAAAATATTCAGACAGTTTTCATTTAAAAAGCTAATTTTCCATGGTTTATTTCTACACAGCGAAGAAAATCAGCGTTTAGTTAGGAGTTACTGGTAGAGTTTTACAGATATTTATCCTCTCTTACATTCTTTTTGAATAGCTGTCGCCCGCGACTCCGTCCGCGCGGATTTAAAAAAAAAAGTTAATGAGTAACCCTATGTGTTCTTCCAGACTATGTTTAACATCTGTGCCAAATTTCATCACGATCCATTAAGCCTTTCCGGAGATACCTTTAAACAAACATCCATACATCTAAACATTAGCATTTATAATATTAGTAAGAAGTAAGATATTAAATGTTAATGCAATCGTAACTCACAATTGAAGATTTTCTTTTAATTTTTCGCGAAGGCGTGGCACATTTGTCAATGATTCGCGTCACATTATGTTTGTTACTAATTTAAAATGTTAACACAATTAACAGTAGAGTTGGCTATTGGCCAGACTCCTAGTTTTTACATACTATATGTTCATATATTTAGATTTTTATTACATGTACGAATCACAGTGTTATTTATAACCCAGTCTCTTTGTCCAGATAAGATATAAATTAACGATTTAACTACATCCTTTTCAAACGGCGGTAAATTGACTTAATTTTCGGTTATTTTATCATATGTCACTCTTTGTTAATGCAGCAAACATATGTAAAGTTCGTGGATAATTGTGGAAAATTTAGAAAATCTTTGACATAAAGACTTATCAATGTATTTTGACCTGTTTAAGTTTTATTAATTCATCATCAGCTGACTATACGTCCCCACCGAGGGGCACGGAGCCTACCCTAAGTTGAGGGTGATTAGGCCATAGTCAACCACGCTGGCCAAGTGCGGGTTGGTTGACTTCACACATATCTTTGAATTTCTTCTCAGATATGTGCAGGTTGCATCACGATGTTTTCCTTCACCGTAAGAACGTCGATAAATGTACATATGTAAATAGGAAATCGAAAGACACATTGGTACAAGGCGGGATTCGAACCCAGGACCTGCAGATTGCAAGTCAAGTGCTTGACGCCTGAGCCACCGACGCTCATATAACGCTTTATTAATTATTCAGTTAAAATTAAATATTCACAAATATGTATATATGAACAGTTAATGTAGTTTGCGGATTGTCTTTCCGTTACTTTATAGTATAAAGTAATACACGGTTCCCATATCACATTAAAACTTTATAGGATGCCGATAAACTTTAGTACAGAACACACGGCACTGGAATGAAGTCACGGTCCAGCTGTGTTTATAATAAATTATTGTTTGTCTTATCATGCCAGTGTTCAGCTTAAACAATTATAGACCAAAGTATATTTATTCTTCATAAAACAGAGTGGACACGACATTGTTATTATCTTCTTAATTGAAAAGCTCTTCGTAGAGTATACAAGAGCACATTAGGAACTAAAATTATAATAACATAAATAGTTTACAAAATTTTATAATCAACGCATGTCTTAAGACTTAGAAGAATTTATAGTTTTTAAAAGCGACCCAAAAATCTAATTACAAATTTTACGGTATTTTTAATTTGAATGTCATTCACAGTTAAGGTATTATTTTTTCTTAAAATTCCATTTGAACATAAGATATGACATAGGGTCTTAGTATTCAGTCGTAACATATGTATGTTGGTGTAAAATACACACAGGCTGGGCGCACTTCCCACGGGTTTCGTGTTTGTAAATCAAGGCCACTACTATCTGTAATTAAATGCCATTTTAATAATGACGTATTTACGTCATGGACATGTTACATAAATGTTCGCTCCCCCGGGGATTCCTCGGCTATTATATAGAACGTTTCAGTTTTGTATCGCAACATTCATCACAATATTTATAAACATTTGATTTATTTTAATTGGCACATAAAATATACCGGATTTTGTATTGACTGAACTATCGTTTTGTAATGATCGGTTTTTGTTTTTTAATTATTAATGTCTTTAAAATATTATCCGACAATTATACTTTGAAATACATATCGAATATATAAGTTACATGTAAAAACCTAAGTCAGTGAATGGTGAATTAAATTAATCTATAATTATGAAGAGCGTCGGTGGCTCAGGGGTCAAGCACTTGACTTGCAATCTGCAGGTCCTGGGTTCGAATCCCGCCTTGTACCAATGTGTTTTTCGATTTCCGATTTACATATGTACATCTATCCGACGTTCATACGGTGAAGGAAAACATCGTGATGCAACCTGCATATATCTGAAAAGAAATTCAAATATATATATGTGTGAAGTCAACCAAACCTCATTGGGCCAGCGTGGTTGACTATGGCGTAGTCACCCTTGATTTAGGGTAGGCTCCGAGTCCCTCGGTGGAGACGTATAGTGGGCTGATGATGAAAATTATGAATGTGTGAGTTAAATTAATAAAAACAAATCGGATATATTTTAACATAGTATAATTAGGAATATGCGATCTATTTAAATAATATAAAACGTTTATATAATTTTCTAAGTGTTGGTTTGAATTTTAAATAATTCATGTAGCATTTATTAATAATGTTTTTATTAGCAATGCATATTGGTATGCCTGCATCCGAGTAGCAACACAATGATAAATAATAATTCTCATTCTGTTGTAATCTGAGATGAATGTCAAATGTAAAGGAGAGTACTCACTAGATTGTAAAATACTCAAAAAATATCTCAACCGTAATTATTGTATGAAAAAAATTGGTATAAAATGATGTATAAGATCTTATTTTGAATTCAATTTTAAAAATTAAAATTAAAGTCGTTGCCACTTGGTCACCACAAAAATGTCTTCAAATTATAAATTATTAAAATATTGTTACATTATTTTTAGATGTATTAGTATATAAATAGTATAAAATATTCTTTTGAATTACTTAAAATATTAACACGAGTGCAGTGAGCACGTAACGTTATATATATCTGAAAAGGTCAACTTTATCAGTTAAACGAGTTTAATTATTGACCTGTTAAATTATTTAAATAATTTAGATAGCGTTATTAACGATATACTTAAGAGCATCATATAATAGTCGTTTATTGAAAACTAACTGACGCCCGTGACTCCGTCTGTACGACGTTAAAAAAACGTTATAATTATATTCTACATCTATGCCAAAATTAATTAAGATCTGTTTAGCATTTCCGGGGATACTTACTAACAAACATCCATCCATCTA